TGTTGAGGGGTTGAAACCACACAGCCTTAGTCGCTCAACCCTCGAGACCCCTTTGAGAAGTGCAGCGAGACTCGGGCTCCCGCCAGCCTGCACGCCATCACTGCTCCCAGAGTAAAAGACCAGGCAGGCCACAGGCCTCGACGACGCGCCCGGCCCGCCGGGAGGCTGAGGCGGCCGAGGCAAGCGCCGTCGGAAGGGGGCGACCCGTGCGGCTCTCCTAGCTTCGTCGTCATCACAGCCTCCGCCGCCCCCGACTCTCGGCAGGGAAAGGCCTGCGCAGACGCCGCGCCGCCTTGGGGGAAGAGAAAGCGGCCAACACACCTAACGGAGCTGCAAAGAAGCCCGGCCCGAGTTAGAGAAAGGCAAATTGCTGTTAGAATACTCACCCCTTCGGGCCTGGAGCTCCGTTGCCGCTCGGCACGCAGGGCGCGCCGCTCTCTTCCTCCATTTTGGGCTCTGTCGCTGCTACTTCAGCCGCCGCTTCGACCCCTGCCGCCATTTTCTCCGCGTCTGGGCTTTGTGTGAGGGAGCGAGCTGTGCCGAGCTGCGCCTGCGCGCTCACGTGACCCCGCACGACCAGTAACGCCTGCGTGTGCTGCGACCGGTTCCCGCTTCCTCCTCGGCTCGGGTCACGCCCCCTGGATACCAGACCACGCCCCTTGACTATCTGCTCCCTTGGATATCAGGCCACGCCTCCCGGCGCCCTTGAGTACTGCTGTGTGTGAGTGAGAGTATTATCGCCCTTACACACTTGTAATAAGAGTGCACATACTGACCTACTGACCCCAGCTTACTTTCTTTTTTCACCCCTCTGTTTTATTAACTAATTTCTCTTCTTTTTTGAAGCAGGGCCTCACTATGTGGCCCCGGCTGGCCTGGAAGATCCTCCAGCCCCTATCAAGTGTAGGAATTAAAGGCATGCACTACCACGTCTACCTATTAATTTATTTTTAACAACTTCATATATGTATATCATGTATTTTTAGTTTGTTTGGGAGGGGGCGGGCTTTTCCAGACAAGGTTTCTCTGCGTAGTCCTGGCTGTCCTAGAACTCACTCTGTAGACCAAGCTGGCCTTGAACTCAGAGATCCGCTTGCCTCTGCCTACAAAAGTGCTAGGATTAAAGGCGTGTGCCACCAATGCCCGGCTGGGCTTTTTTTTTTTTTTTTTGAGACAGGGTTTCTTGCCAATGATGGCCTTGAATTCTGTGTAGCAGAACCTGGCCTTGAATGTCTGACCTGCCCACCTCCACATCCTGAGTGCTGGATAGATAGACTTTAGGAACCATGCTCAGTTTGTTCAGTGCTAGGAATGGAACCCAGGGACTTGAACATGTTAGGCAGGCACTCTACCAGCTTCAATTCCTGACTATACAGTATTTTTATCATATTCACTTCCAGTTACCATCTTATCCCCCTCACACTCCCACTGAACCTTTTTTCCTACAAATTCCCTACTTACTTCCATGTTGTCGTTTTGTGAACTACTAAGTTAGGATCTCTTACATGAGCATAGATATGGGGTTTATTTACCTGAGCATAGGCTACACTACTGAAGAAAATGACACCTCCTTCCTCCAGCAACTACCACCAATAGGTCTTCAGGGAAAGGTGATGCCTACCAAGCCCCATCCCAACCATGATGGAATGCTAAAGGGTTCTATCTTGTGCAAGTAACCACCCCAGCTATGATTTCATGGGTGGCAACAGCCATGTTATGTCAAGGAGACACCAGCTTTTTTTAAATGGTCCTAGGGCAGAAAGAAAATGAAAATTCTGTTGGCAGGATTTTTTTTTAACTATAGTGTGTGTGTGTGTGTGTGTGTGTGTGTGTGTGTGTGTGTGTGTGTGTGTGTGTGACTGAATACCGGCTTGGAGCATGCCATGGCTTGCAAGTTGGAGTTTTCTCTTTCCACCACGTGGGTTCTGGGAATCAAATGCAGGTTACAGGCTTGGTAGCAAGCATCTTTACCCACTGAGCCACAGAACCAGTCCTATATGCAGAATCCTTGACAGGCTAACATCAAACTAAAACTTTCAATGTAATTCAAAGCATTAGAAGAGATGTATAACAGAAACCTCCACCTCCAACATCCCCTCTTCCTCCTTCCCTCCCTGTTTCCTCCCTCCCTCTCCCCCCCCCCTTCTCTCTCCTTGATGGCATCTTCTGGAGCACACTTACACCATCTCCAGAGACCCTACATTCTAAAGTTAGGATAAGAAGTAGGTGCCAAGCTAGGTAGGCCAGGAGAGCAAATGTGCCTGTGTGCATTTATCTAAGTTTCTATAGGTATCAGTTCACCTGTCACCTATTGCCTGATCATCTTAGCTCTGCTCCTCAATCATACTGTTCCAGCCATGAAGTCAAACAGATTCCAGCCCCTGAGTTTTAGCCTTCTGCAAAACTGGCTTCCCCCTTGTCTTTCCAGTCAGGGCAGCAAGATATTGTTTTTATGTGCCATCGCACCCCCGCCCCCACCCTATGTACAAGGGATGGGTGCAGAAAAAAACAGGAAGGACCATATTGTATTGGACCCATTAGGAATGATGATGAGCCTACTCCATTTGCTCATCTGAAAGAGGTTTAATAAAAGATTCCCCAAAACCCACTTTTCAGAGAAGCCTTGGTTGGGCATTAAATGCAGGAAGATGTCAAGCACCCTTAACTGTTAAATAATTCAGCATGCAACAAGAGCTCAAAGGTGAGCTGGCCAGGCATGGTGGCACCTACCTGTAATCTCAGTACTCGAGAGGATTACCACAAATTTGAAGCTAGCCTATTTACACAATTCCAGGGCCAACAGGGCTACATATTGAGGCCAACTAAGCAAAGAGAAGAGGATAAGAAGCAACAGAAGCTGTTACTACCATGGTCACATTCTACATCTTTCTAGAGTCTGCCTGGGGGGTAGGGCACAAAGCTTAATACTGCAGCATCCGGGATCCCCAGCTCCTAAAGCTAGAACTTCAGATAAAGGTTTTCATACACTGGCCCTCGGTCTTCCCACCTTTAAAATGGAATAACAGTAATAACTGTTCCTTCCCCAGAGATGTGAAACAGGCTCAGAATTGGGTCTCATTCACGGTAATCCCAGATAAATGTGGATAGTGTTGCCATTAGTTATTAGTGAGTATTAAGGGTCTCAGTATAAAGGGCTCATTGGAAATACAAACTAAGTGGAAATTGTCCTTACCTTTTTCCTTTTGTAATGGAACCAGGACCTCCCACATGCTAAGCATGTTTTGTGCCACTGAGCTACATTCACAGTCCTTGTATACTCTCAAGTTGGTTTTGTTGTTGTTGTTATTTTGCTTATTTTTGTGGTTTTGAGGGTTTGTGGCTTTTTTGTTTTGTGTTTTTGTTTTGTTTTGGGAAATAGGATCTCTCTATTTAGACTGCTCTGGAACTCCCTATGTAGACTAGCCTAGTCTTGAACTCAAAGAGATCCTACTGCCTCTGTCTCCTGAGTGCTGGGACTAAAGGCATGTGCCACACACACATGGCTTATTTTATCTTCTTGAGACATGGTCTCACTATATAGCCCTAGCCAGCCTGGAACTCAATATGTATTTTGGACTGCCCTTGAACTCACAGAGATCTGCCTCCCTCTGCCTCTGTGTGCTAGGATTAAAGATGTGCAACACCACGAAAGGCCCTTTGTGATTTATGTGTATGGGTGTTTTGCCTGTCTGTGTACCTGTGCACCATGTGTATGCTTGGTGTCAGTGGAGGCCAGAAGAGGATATTGAATCTCCCAAAGAAGTCACAGATGGTTGTGAGCCATCACGAGTGCTGAGAATCAAATCCATGTCCTCTTCAATGGAAGAGCAGCCAGTGCTCTTAAACACTGAGCCAATTCTCAAGCACACATGTGGGAGAATTCCCACGGGGCTACACTGGTCTTGCTCCAGAGTGCTAGCACCTGGCCTAAATCCATCTTTTGTTTCTTAGTTACCTTTTGTTTCTCTTGTTGCCCTCAATGTGAATCCTGTCTGAGAGTTTCCCAAGTGTACAAAGCATATGCAAAACTTAGTTAGGAAAAATCCAGTACACTGTGATATTCCTTAATCAAGAATTTGCACTTGGCATTGTCCCTTTGGACGCTTCATCAGGATGTTTTGGGAATATGGAAATCAAGTTGCTGAAAGTGAAAATTTTGAGAACAATAAAAATGCCCTAGGCTAAAGGAAGGTGTCTTAGTCCCACAAGAGGCTGATTGCCCCTGCAGCTGGAAAGGCTAAGATATCCTTAAGGTGTGATGTGTCTTCTTCCCACAGACCCATGTAAACCCACACCTGCTCAACAACACACACACTCCCCCTACTTTGTTTATTCTTAAAGTCATTTGTTGTTAAGGATACACTCCATGGTAGATCATTTGCCTATAATATGTGAAGCTCTGAATTCAATCCTTAGTACCATTAAAAAATATATATACACATGTACATATTTTATTTCCTTGAGACATCATCTCACTATGCAGTGAGACCTCTTGGCAATATATTTATATTTATATATATATATATATATATATATATATATATATATATATAAATATTTATACTTATATATTTATATTGCCAGGCATGGTGTTGCATGCCTTTAGTAATCCCAGCACTCAGAAGACAGAGGCAAGAGATCTCTTTGAGTTCCAGGCCAGTCAGTACTACCTAGAGACCCTGTCTCAAAGTGTGTATGTTACTAAAAAATATTAAAAACTATATTTATTTAATAATCCTGGGAATCAAACCCAGAGTTTTGTCTTTGTTATTCAAGTACTCAATTACTGAACTACATCACCAGCTAAAATAATTTTTTAAAAAATCATTTAAGGCCAGGCGGTGGTGGCACACGCCTTTAATCCCAGCACTCGGGAGGCAGAGCCAGGAGGATCTCTATGAGTTCGAGGCCAGCTTGGACCACCAAGTGAGTTCCAGGAAAGGCGCAAAGCTACACAGAGAAACCCTGTCTCGAAAAATCCAAAAAAAAAAACACAAAAAAACTTTTAAAACTCATTTATTGGAGTGGGAGAGATGGCTCAGTAGTTAAGAGCACTTGCTGCTCTTACAGAAGACAGAGGTTTTGTTTCTAGTACCCACATGTCAGCTTAAAACCATCTGTAACTCCATCCAGTTCCTGGGAATCTCCTGCATTCTTCTGGCTTCCTTGGGCACTGCATTCACATAGAGCACACATATATGCAGGGAAAACAAAACACTCATACCCATAAAGAATAAATTCTATAAAAGATATTTTTAAACCAGGCTGTGGTGGCACATGCCTTTAATCCCAGCACTCAGGAGGCAGAGGCAGGCTGATCTCTGTGAGTTTGAGGCCAGTCTGGTCTTCAAAGTGAGTTCCAGGACAGCCAGGGCTGTTACACAGAGAAACCCTGTCTCAAAAAAAAAAAAGGATATTTTTAAAAGATCATTCATCATAAACCCTGCCCAGGCCAGTGCAGTGGCTCAGTGGGTGAGAGCGCTTGTACAAACCTAAAAACCTGTTTGCTCCCTGCAGCCATAGAAAGGTAGAAGGGAAGATCCTGCTCTCCTAACAAGGTTTCTTCTGACCTCCCCCAGCAATAATAACAATAAATAGTTTAAAGAGAAATAAACTATTCCTTTTTCCTGTTCTTTGTTTTTTCATCCTGTATGGGCAGGCACATACAAGACGAAGTAAGGCTCCACCTTATTGAACTCAGAGCTTTGCCCATATGGCTAGTTTTGCCAGCCAGCTTGCTCTGGGATCTCCTGAGTGCTAGGCTAGCATCACCAGGGACACACACACACACACACACACACACACACACACACACACACACCCCAAATCTATATAGGTTATAGAGATGGGAAGTCTGGTCTTCATAATCGTGTAGCAAGCGCTTTAATCACCAAGTCCCTGCATCCTGTTCTTAGTTTAAAATTCTGACTTTACTTCTTCCTTACACTTCTGTGATGGTTAGCATTAACTGTCAATTTATCATCTTGATTGTACTGATTGATGTAGAAAGACCCATCTTAACTGTGCCTTGATTTCCCCACCATGAGTGGCTGTACCTGGAGCTGTGAGATAAAATAAATGCTTTCTCCCTTAAGTTGCCTTTTTAAAAAAATTTATTTTATGTGTATGGGTATTTTGCCTGCATGTATGTATGTGTACCATATGTGAGCAGTGTCCGGGGGAGCCAAAAGCCATCACTGGATCCCCTGGAACCGGAGTTAGGGACATTGCAAGCTGCCATATGAGTTCTGGGAATCGAACACAGTTTTTTTTAAGAGTGGCCAGTGTTCTTAACCACTGAGCCATCTCTGCACCCCCACTTAAGTTGCTTTTATCTGATTACTTTATCATAGAATTAAGAAACTAAGACAGATTCATAACAGATCCCTCAAAACTAGCCAAGTGTTTTATAGTTTTCGCCCATAAAATCACTCACTTGGAGCAGTTTAGAAATGTAACTGACGAGTCCATGTTAGCCAGCAAGGGCTCCTTTTATTCATTCAGGGTTGGGTTTTTGGAATGCAGTGCAACTTTATAAAGTCAAGAGTGCCAGTAAAGCAAGCCAGCCAGGTGCAGAGTAGCTAGCGCAAGAAGCTTGCTGGAACCTTCTAGCCCAATGGGTGCCCTTGACACAAGCAGTCAAAGCTGCTGGCCAAGGAGGTATCAAGCAGAACTCAGAATGAGATAAGGGTGCCTGCTCCATCCAAAGCTTGGGTCTGTCCATTTGTCCTGGTCATGTATAACAATGTATAAAACAAAACCCTTGAAAATATGTTCACAAGGAGCACAGAGCAGGCTCTGCTTGCTGTGGCTCTTGGCCTGAGAAGCATCGTGGCTGTGCATGAAAGGTCAGGCAGCTTCCATCCTTCCAAACACCAAGGCATTGTCATCTGCCTCTGGTCTCTTCACTACCTCAGGGCCCTGCCAGTCAGTTCTTCACACAGGGGTCTCCTCTGAAACCTTTTTTAAGAGTCCAGCAGCCAGCAAGGAGTGGTGGGGTTCCTCGGAGCCATCTGCTTCCCGAATCTTCAGGCGGACTTTCTGATTTGTCTTCCTCCATTCTGAGTACAGCTGGCAGTGGTATCGGAAAGAGACCTGCGGGGGCAGTCCTGCAGTGGGTGGGAAGGTAAAGACAGGCCTCCACCCTGGGAGAGGAAAAGGAGCCCTGGCATTTGCCATAGGCCAAACCTAGAAGCAGACCACATTTGGGCATTTCTTGTAGACTGTCTATACACTCACCCATTTGGTCCTCTGAGAACTTTGATAAGCTTTGAGTCCTGTAAAATAAGGGATCCACCACCTTGACCCCAGCAGGGAGCAAGGCTCTTCCATTCTACAGCTGATGAGAATGGAGTCCTACCAGTCTCTTGGGATTATTTAACCTCAAGCACCCACACAATTGCCCAACCTGGAAGCAACCTATCCCTTCATAAGTAAGAATATAAAAATGATGGTGCATTTAAGGGACTGGGAAGATGGGTCAGTGGGTAGAGTACTTGCTGGGTAGGCTTGAGGATCTGAGTTCAAATCCCTGAGCATGATCCTGTGTCCTACCTGTAACCCCAAAACTGGGGAGAGGAAGGAGGTAGAGACAAGAGAATCGCTAGGACTTGCTGGCTGGTAGCACTTACATGTGTACACACACATATACCACACATACACACTCATGACTACAGACACACACACATGGTTACACATACTCACACACACACATATGGACACACATTCAGACATACATACTCATACACACACACACACACACACACACACACACACACACACACACACACACACACACTAGAAGAAGTGAGAGCTGGAGCTACAGCTCAGTGGTAAAGTGCTTGTTCAGCATGTGAGAGGCACTGGATTCTAATCCGAATACCATTAAAAAAAGAGTCCAGCTGGTAGTGCAGGAATGTGACCCCAGTTGCTCAGACAGGACAACCACAAGTCTAAGGTCTGTCAGGACTACAGAGTGAGTGCAACTTAGTGAGACACTGTCTCAAAATAACATATAAAAAACGGCTGGGGATATAGCTCAGTAGAGGCATGCTTGCTTAGTATGTGAGAGCCCTGGGTTCAGTTCTCAATACGGAACAACAACAAAAGTGAGCTATCAAGTGATGATGCAGCATAGAAAAAACTTAAATTCAAATAACCAAGTGAAAGAGGCCGAAGCAGCTACATGTTGTATGACTCCAAGTACATGACATTCCCGAAGAGGAGAAACTATGGAGATAGTGAAAAGATGGGTGGTTATCAGGGGTGTTGGAGTGGGGAGAGACAAACAGGTGGAGAACAGAGGAGCAATTAAAAATTGTACACTAGTGTTTGGGAATTCGGCATAGTTGGGAAAGTGTTTGCCCAGCACTCACAAAGCCCAGGGTTCCATCCCAGCACCACATAAAGCAAATGTGGTGGCACATATATGACATCCCAGCAATTAGGAAGTAGAGATGTGAGAATCAGGAATTCAAGGTCATTCTGGCCCATGAGGCTCTGACTGGGGAAACGGCTCAGTTGATAAAGGGTCTGCTGTGTAAGTGTCAGGATCTAAGTTCAGACCCCCAATGCCTGCAAAAAAAGCTGAACATGATGGGATGTATATATAATACCAGTGCTGGAGTCAGAGACAGGCAGGTTTCTAGAGGTCCCTGGCTGGCCAGTCTAGCCAAACTAGTGAGTTCCAGGTACAGTGAGAGACTCTATCTCAAATAAAAGGTAGAGTTTGGCCAGACTGCTCAATGGGTAAAAGCCACTGTGATAGTTTGAAAGAAATGGCCCCCAAAGGGACTGGCACTATTAGGAGATGTAGCATTGTTGGAGTAGGTATGGTCTTGTTGGAGGAAGTGTTTCACTGAGGTGCTGTGGGATGTTCTGTATGGCAAATGTGTTGCTGATTAGTCAATAATTAAAACACTGATTGGCCATTGGCTAGGCAGGAAGTGTAGGCGGGACAAGGAGGAGAATAAAGCTGGGAAGTGGAAGGCTGAGTCAGAGAGACACTGCCAGCCGCCACAATGACAAACAGCATGTGAAGATGCCGGTAAGCCACGAGCCATGTGGCAAGGTATAGATTAATGGAAATGGATTAACTTAAGCTGTAAGAAGAGTTAGCAAGAAGCCTGCCACGGCCATACAGTTTGTAACCAATATAAGTCTCTGTGTTTACTTGGTCGGGTCTGAGCGGTTGTGGGACTGGCGGGTGACAGAGATTTGTCCTGACTGTGGGCCAGGCAGGAAAACTCCAGCTACACTGAGGAGGTGGGCTTTAAGGTCTCATATATGCATAAGATACTGCCCAGTGTCTCAGACTACTTCGTGTTGCCTGTAAATCAAGATGTAAGAATCTCAGTTCCTTCTCCAGCACCATGTCTGCCTGCATGCTGCCTTGCTTCCCATCATGACGATAATGGACTTAATTTCTGAAACTGTAAGCCACCCAATTAAATGTTTTCCTTTATAAGAGTTGCTGTGCTCATGGTGTCTCTTCATAGCAATAGAAACCCTAACTAAGACAGGCCACCAACACCAAGCCTGACAACCTGAGTTAGACAACCAGGACCTATAACGTGTGCAAGAGTAGCACCAACTTAGTCTAAGTTATCATCTAACCAGTGCCAGCGTGCGCACACACCACCACCACCACCACCACCACCGCCGCCGCCGCCACCACACACACACACACACACACACACACACACACACACACACACACACTAAATGTAATTTTAAAATTATGGGCATTATGCTGGGTGGTGGTGGATCACGCCTTTAATTCCAGCACTTAAGAGGCAGAGGCAAGTGGATCTCTGTGAGTTCCAGGATACCCTAGTCTACATACCAAGTTCCAGGCCTGCCAGGGCCACATCTCAAAAAGAAAAAAAGTGAATGAGCTGGAGAGACAGCTCAGAGGATAAGGGTTCTTTACCCACTTGATGACCCAAGTCCAAGCCCCAGAACTCTTTTTTTTTTTTTTTTTTTTGGTTTTTCGAGACAAGGTTTCTCTGTGTAGTTTTGGTGCCTGTCCTGGATCTCACCCTGTAGACGAGGCTGGCCTCGAACTCACAGAGATCCACCTGGCTCTGCCTCCCAAGTGCTGGGATTAAAGGTGTGTGCCACCACCACCCGGCTAAAGCTAGAATTAACCTTTGTTTTTTGTAAACTTCCCATCAAGGATGCTGGGAAAGAAACTTAAGTCCTCTGCAAGAGCCTCAAAGTTCTTTTTTTTCTTTTTTTTCTTTTTTTGTTTTTTCAAGACAAGGTTTCTCCATATAACAGCTCTGGTTGTCCTGGAACTCGCTCTGTAGACTAGACTGGCCTCTCAAATCACAGAGATCCGCCTGCCTCTGCCTCTTGAGCACTGGGATTAAAAGCGTGCACCACCACAGCCCAGCTCCCCCAGAACTCTTATGGTAGAAGTAAAGAACAGAGTCCTTCAAGCTGTCTTCTAACGTCCACATACATGCCATGCCACACATGCTCTTTCACACACATACAAACAAAATAAGTGAATGTAAAAATATAAAAATAAGATGGACAGCTGGGTGGCATCACATCCTTGTTGTGCAAACACTGGCAGTGCTTAAGATGCCTTTAACACCTGAACAATGTGAGCATGGTGGCTTGAGCCTGTAATCCCAGCACTTGAACTACAAAGAGTTCAAGACCAGTCTGGGCTGAGATCCTGTCTCATAAAAAAAGCACATCAGGGATGGGGATGAGGCTCAGTTGTGACAGTGTTTACTTAAGTGTGTGGTGGTGCACACCTGTCACCCATGTACTCGGGAGGTGAGAGAACTGGAAAGGTCAGAAGCTCAAAGCCATCATTAGTTACATACTGAGTTCAAATCCAGTATGGGGTACTTGAGATCCTCTTTAAGTCAGTCAGTCAGTCAGTCTGTCTGTGTGTCTGTCTGTCTGTTTCTTTCTCTCTGTGTTGCTAGCTTGAATCCAAAGGTCTCTCTCATGCTAAACACAAACTCTACCACTGATCTGGAAACGACTTCTTGATATGAGGAATGGCCCATAGCTGGACAACTGGAAAGTGCAAGGACTTCCTCTCTGAGCAAAGATGTCACTGTTTGTTTCAGTGGCACCCCTACTTTATCTTATCACTTTCTGTCTCAGCAATAGTCTCAGTGTTCTCCCCATTTCCATTTTCTTCTCTTCTTCCTTCTAACTACTTTTTAGGTATATTCTTACTACATTTTATATTGTGTGTGTGTATGTGTGTGCGCGTGTGCATCCACTCATGCACATGTGTGGACATCAGAGGATAACCTACAGAAATCAGCTCTCCATCTCCACCATGTGGGTCCTGGAGGTTGAACTCAATTTGTCAGCCTTGAAGGCAATTGCCTTCACCCACCAAACCACCAACTCACAACTATTTTTTAGTTTAAATTAATTTTTCTCACTGACACATTGAAACCAGTACATTTTATAGGGTACCCATTCCACACTCATTTTCTGTTTATTTCCTGTGCTAGGGAAAGAATCCAGAACCTGATACATGCCAGGAAAGTGCCCTACCATAGGGCCACACCTCCAACCCCTCAATTTTTCAATCAATATGTCTCATACAATCTTTCCTGGTTTATTCGTCTTAAAACTTTAAAAAAATTTTTTTTTATTTATTATTCTTGTTGGAGGGCCTTCGTGTGAAAGCCAGAGGACAACTTTGTGGAGTCAGTTTTCTCCTTCTACCTATGTGGGTTCTAGGGATCACACTCAGGTTGCCAGGCTTGCCCAGCAAGCACTTTTACCCACTGAGCCATCTTGCCAGCCCTGTTTTGTCTCATGTAGTCCAGGTTGGCCTCCAACTCTGATTCTCCTGCCTCCAACTCAGGTGTTTGTAAATACACCTGGTGTATGTAGTGCTAGGAACTAGAACCCAAAGCTCCATGCATGTTAGGCAAGCACTGTACCAACTGAGCTACTCCTCAGTCCTGTATTTTGGCTTCAATCCCTCATTCTCTACTCTTTATTCTTTAGATGGGACTACCCCATGTTGCTCAGACTAGCCCTGAGCTCCTGGAAGAATCATGTTCTATCACTGTCAGCTCCCACCTAAGTTCTTAATATCTCTCCCTTCATTTTTTTTTTTTTTTTTTTTTGAGGGTCTCTCTATGTGACCCTGGCTGTTCTGGAACTTTGTATATAGACTAGTCAGGCATTGAGCTCACAGAGATCTACCAGTCTCTGCCTCTTGAATGCTGCGATTAAAGGTGTGCACCACCATGCCTGTCCTTATTTATTTATCTGTCTGTCTATTTATTTATTTATTTTGAGACAGAGTTTCATTGTATAGCCCAAACTGGCTTTAAATTTGTTAGCCATCCTCCCGCCTCAGACTCCTGAGTACTGCGATTACAGGCAATGTAAATCACCACAGCTGGCTTTTGTCTTATTTGTTCGTTTGTGGTACCAGGGATTTAACCTAGGCCTTGCACATGTACCACTGAGGAATCTCTCTAGCCCTGATTTAATTTTTTTCTGCATTTTTCATCTATTGATTGTGTGGGGGTGGAGTGGGGTGTACATATGGAAGTCCCAGGACAACTTGTGGAAGTCTGTTCTCTCCCCCTATGTGGTCCCAGGGATCAAATCAGGTCATCAGGCTCAGCAGCAAGTGTTTTTATCTGCTGCGCCATCTCACTGGCCCTCAACTTCTTTCTCTCCTTTCCTCCCTCCCTCCGTCCTTCCTTCCTCTTCTCTCCCTCTCTCTGTTCCTTCTTCCTCCCTCCCTCCTTCCTTCCTTTCTTCCTCCTTCCCTTCTTCTTTCCCTCCTTTCCTTCTCTTAGTTTTTGAGACTGAGTCTCATGTATCCCAGGCTAGCCATGGTCTCACTATGTAGCAAAGGATAACCCTGAGTGTCTAATCCTCCTGACTTGACCTTCTCAAAGCTGGAAACCAGAGAGAATGGCACTGGGATTCAAAACTGGATAAGCACGCCACCAACTGAGCTACATCCAGGACACATTCCCCACTCCCCTCTCCCTTTCTTTCCTTGTTAACTTTTTTATTAACTAAATCTCTTCTTTCACAGTTCCATATATGTCTATAATGCATTCCGATTACTCATCCCACTTTCATTTCCCTGCAACCCATCAAACCCCTCCTCCCTACAAAGTCTTTCCCCACATTCATGTCTTTTTGTTTTTTTCTGTGACACACTGAGTTAAGGCAGGGTCATCTGTGTGGCCATGGGTTTGGGTATACAGCAGAGCCTCATGGGCTCAGCTGTGGGCACACAACTGAAGACAATGTCTCCCCCTTCTCCAGAGTCTATCAGTAGCCAACAATTCAGCAGGGAGAGGTGGGGCTTATATTTTTTGGAAGATTTTTAATCCATATTCTTTGTTACATTTATTTAGTTATTTCTGGGGGCATCCTATGTTAGGACAGAGGGCAAGCTGAAGTCAGTCCTCACCTTCTACCACACGGGTTCAAGGCCAGTTCCTTTACTGCTGAGATGTCTCACTTGTCCTCCGTTTCTTAGTACGTATCTGCTCGACCTCACTCTCTCCCTATCTTTTTCTTGCTTCAGCCTTTTGCTGTCCCTACTTCTTCTCACCTGACCCATCATGATTAACTGCCCTAGTGCCCTTGGAACAAAAGGCTCACTGTTGGCTGGGGGTGTCCCTGGACCTGTGTTATACTGTCAACCTGAAGCAACAGCAAGAGTGAGCTGAGGTGACCACTTCCAGCAGTAGCAACATTCACACACAGCCTGGGCATCCCAGCTGAGCCCACCCACCTGGGCTGCACCCACTCACCAGTGTCCAGAGCACATAGATAGTGAAGAGGGCGATGGTGAGAGCAATGAGCCCCACAGCCTCCAGCCGGCTATGCAGACGGAGGTGGTCCTGGGCCCCTCGAAGGCACAGCCAACCTGAGATGGCAGCCAGTGGTGTGATGAACACGAAGCACACCATGTCACAGCACAGCGTCCGCTTCTCAGTGCGAGGCCCTGGGTCCTTCAGCCACTACGGGGGAGCAGATGAGGGGTGGGGTTATGTAGAAGGGTGCTGCAGAAGGAATGGGATGAGGGCAGGCTGTAGGCCTGGATCTCCTTATTTTTTAATAATAGTAATACTTTAGCGTTATTATTATTTAATTAATAATTAATCATATGGAGTCTGCTGAGTGCTTGCATCCATTTTACTGATGGGCAAATGGAGCCAACAGAGGAGTTTCATGTATTCATGCAAATTCACATAACTAGAGCAGACTGACTATCCTATTCTAAAAATCTACCATCCAAAATGTTCTAAAATCTGAAACTTATAAAACACCAAGATGATGGGTGAGTAAAGGAGGGCAACTGGAAAGCAGGGCTCGAATTTAAGAGCACTTGCTACTCTTCCAAAGGACCAGAGTTCTGTTCCCATCATCCATGTCAAAGGTTTACAACCAACCACCTATATAATTCTAGTTCCAGGGGAATCCCATGCCCTCTACTGGCCTCTGTGGGCACCTGTACACAAGCGAACACACATACAGATATACACCTAAATAAAAAATAAAAATAAATCCTTTTTTTGTTTGTTTGCTTTTTGAGACAGGGTCTCTCTATGTAGTCCTGGCTGTCCTGGAACTTGCAATGTAGAAAACCTGGCTGGCCTCAAACTCACAGAAGTCCTTTTGCCTCTGTCTCCCCAAGTGCTGGGATTAAAGGTGTGCACCACTATGCCTAGCTTAAAAACAAATCTTTAAAATGTCATTGTGGTACCACAAATAGAAATTTCTACATCATGAAACTTGTTTTATATATACATCATCACCATCACCACCATCACCAGCACCACCACCATTGGTGGGTTGTTATTGTTTTCTGAGACAGTATCACCTGCAACCCATGTGGGCCTTGAACTTCTGACCTTCCTGCTTCCAAGTGTTGAGAATGTGTTACAATGTCCAGTTCAAAATTATTTAAAATATTATATCTGGGGATATAATTTAATAATGGTACAACACTTGCTTGGCACGAGTGAGGCCCTAGGTTCAATTGCTACCACCACCCTAGAAAAGAAAGAAACAGAGGGGGTGGAGGTGTAGTAGTACACACCTGTAATCCCAACATTTGAGCAATGTAGGGAGAAGGATCATGAGTTCAAGGTCAACCTCTGCAAGTTTGAGGTCCTCCTAGGCTATGTGAGACCCTTCCTCAATAGACAGACATATAGAGTGGTGGTTTGAATGAAAATGGCTCATGTATGCTCATATATTTGGTCCCCAGCTGGTGGAACTATTAGGGAATTAGGAGGTCTGGCCTAGTTGGAAGAGATACGTCACTGGGGCAGGATTTCAAAAGCCCATATTACTCCTGGTTAGTCCCTCTCTGTCTCCTACTTGCAGGTAAAATGTAAGCTCTTAGATACTGAACCATCCCTACTTGCATGCTGCCACGCTCTCTGCCATGATGATCATGGACTCACTCTCTGAAACTGTAAGCCCCCAATAAACTCTTCCTTCTATAAGTTGCCTTGGTCATGTGTCTTATCACAGAAATAGGAAAGAAACTAAGACTGATAGATATGCTGGGTAGTACTGGTGCACGCCTATAATCCCAACACTCAGGAGACAGAGGCAGGCCAATCTCTGAGTTCGAGGCCAGCCTGGTCTACATAGTGAGTTCCAGGACAGCCAGAGCTACACAGAGAAACCCTGTCTCAAAAAACAAAATAAATAAATAAATAAATAATTTTTTTTACATGTGTACACATATGGATGTGTATGTGTGTGTGTGTGTGTGTGTGTGTGTGTGTGTACACACATGTATGTGGGGGCTATGAAGCCCAGATGAGGGAGTCAAATCCCCTGGAGCTAGAGTTACAAGTGCTTGTGAACAGCCTGATGTGGGTGCTGGGAATTGAACTTCAGTCCTCCAAAAGAACAATAAGTGATCTTACTACTGAGCCATCTCTCTCCAAAAGAGAGAGATGGGAGAGAAAGAGAAATAACTAACACTACATATGTTGACTCAATGACACTATGGGCTAAGGATGTAGCTCAGTGGGGGAGTATTTGCCTAGTGTGAGCAAGGCCCTTGGTTCCAACCCCAGCAATACAAGAAAACAAGTAATTAAAGTAAAATATTGTATAAACTTACTTTCAGGACGAGAGTATACATATATGTATATTTATGAAATATTTCCTTTCAATTTGGATCCCAAAATATCTCATATTACCCATGAAAACACTCCAAAATCCCAAACTCTCAAAACCACTCTAGGCCCAAGCTCTTTTTTTTTTTTTTTTTTTAAGACAGGGTATCATGTAAACTAGGCTGGACAAACTCAACACTATATAGACAAAGCTGGTCTTAAACTTCTGACCCCCATGCCACCACCTCCCCAGTTCTAGGATTATAGGTGTGTGGCACCATGCAGGGTTTTATGAAGTGATGAGGCTCAGATCCAGGGCTTCATGTATGTTAGGTTACCTACCAGATGAACCACACACCCCAGGCCTTGGTGTTATGCAGGTTGGCTTGACTCTCTTATCTTTCTGTCTCTGACTCTTTGGCATATCTACCTGTGTGTGCCACCACAACCAGCCCAAACATTTTGGATAAGGTTTATTCATCCTGTAGCCCATAAAGGCAGCCAGGACTAGAACCTAGCTAATGCTGCTTGGGTGCCCAAGTACCCTTTGTCACTATATCATAGAGCGCCCCCCCAAAGATGTTGGGCCAAGAGAAACAAATATGACTCATAAAAAAAAATTCAGGGAAAGAAGCAGAAAGGGTCCTTGTTCTCCTGTGAGGGACATATCAAACAGTGAAAGTTGGGGGGCCAGCAAGAGGGTTTGGTGGGTAAAGCACTTGACACACAAGGTTGATGACCTGTTCAATCCCCAGAACCCACATAAAGGTAGAAGGAGAGAACCAACTCCCTGCAAGTCATCCTTCATATGTGTACTGTGCCATACATGTGTGCATGACCCCCTGCAACACACACAGAGTGAAGTAATTTTTAAAAATTAATTTTTAAAAATGGGGAAGATGGCCAGGGAGCTAGCTAAAGGCCTTGCAGAATGGACAGAAGGGGTGGGAAGGGAGACAAGACTGAAGACTACATGAGCATCAGACACAAAGGCCCTATGGTAGGGCCTTTTAAACTGACACATTGAACTGAATCAAGGGTAGGAGACGGTGTATGTAGAGTCCCTCTCTCTCACTGTCTCCTTGGCACTCAGCTCCCAGGTGGGCTGGAGGCTTTACTTAGGTCTCCCAAGTGACCTATAGTGGCCTTGACTGATCTGGGCAGTACTTCTGGTCTCAGGACGGACATTGCTCCTCACACTTCAGCTCAGTGACATCTACTCTGGAGTTCTCAGCCATCATATGCCAGGGTGGCATCAATAAAACAGAAGTACCTGGGGACATCCAATCACAATCCTAACTGTCATGCTCAGGACAAAGTCCAAGTGTCTGTGTGACACACAAAGCCAGGTGTCATCACTGCCATCTCTCTTGAAACCACTCTTTTCCTCCCTACTTTTTTTTCATTTTGTGTGAGTATATATATATATGTGTGTGCATGTGTGCATACATATTGGGGTGCTGTGTGTGTGTGTGTGTGTGTGTGTGTGTGTGTGTATGCGTGTGAAGGCACACATAGCATGTGGAGGTTGATATCAAGAATTATCCTCAAGCTGTCCTCCACCTTATTCATTGAGGCAGGCTCTCTCAGTCAAACTCAAAGCTCATGGATATAGCCTATTTTGCTAACCAGCTTGCTCTGAGGATCCCCTGTGTCTGCCTCCTGAGGCTGTAAGTATAAGCAGCTGCCACACCCACCTGACATTTACATACATTCTAGGGGGTCTGAACTCCTGATCCTTATGCTTACATGGCAAGTACTTTAACCACTGAGCCTTCTTGGATTTTTTTTTTTTCTCAAACAAAACATCTCGGATGTCTGTTCACATATCCCCAAGAATAGTGTTATACAACAGGTCTCATGTAGCCCAGGTTGGATTCAAACTCTCTATGCAGTCAAGGATGACCTTCCACCTCTAATCCCCTTGCCTCTACCTACCTCTCAAGTGCTGGGATTCTTATTGGATTCTACAGCTTGAACTCAGGGTCTCATGTCTCACTCAGCATTACACCATGAGCTACAACCCCACCCCTTTTAGCTTGACCTACTCCTCCTGGCCTCAGAGCCTTTGCACTTGCTATGTTCTCTGCCAGGACTGTCTTCTCCCTAGGCTCTCTAAATTCCTGTTTTAATCCCTCAGGTCTCAACTTGGGGATTCACCTCCAGCCAAAGCCTCTCCCTCACCCACACAACTCTCAATCTTTGTGTGTGTTTGTGTGTTGGTGTATGAGTACAGGAATGCATGTTTGAGATATGGTGTCCCTGATGTTTTCCTCTTGTGTAAACCAGGCTGGCTGGCCAACGAGTTTCCAGGGATTTTGTATCTACCGCCCAACTTGCCTTAAGAACACTGGGATTACAGAAATAAGCTACAACACCTGGCTTTATGTCAGTTCTGGGGATTTGAACTCAGGCCTGTGTGCTTGTATGGGAAGCACTTTATACAGTGAGCTATCTTCCAGTTCCTAGGACCACTCTTGGCCCCCAAGTGTTTCGTTACACCATCCCAACATTTCCCTCTCTAATGTTTTGTGTTAATGGTCAATTTGACAGAATTTGGAATCCTGGGATGGGAGTCTCAAGGAAGGATTGTGCAGATCAGAGTGGCCTATGGACTTGCCTGTGAGAATGTTCTTAATTTCATGAGATGAGAAGACTCTCACTGTGAGTTTGGCACCATCTCATAGGCTGGCCTGGACAGTGAAAGGAGAGCCATGCATACTGGTATTGCTTGTTCTCCACTTCTGGACTATGATACCATGTCACCAGCTAACTTATTTAAGATAGAGATTCCTACCACTAGACTTCACTGCAATGATAGAGTGTGACCTATTTAAGTTGCTTTTGTCAGGGTATTTTATCACAGCAAACAGGACAGGAACTAAGACACTGTAACTGTTCCCACCAACTGGCCTATTTGGAGATTATGTGGACATTATCAACTGTGTGTTGGTGACCTGGCAGGTCCAGTACCTGACAAAATATTGGGCACACCAGAGGTGTTCAAAGAAATACTTGATGATCTGAGCTTGGTAGCACATGCCTGTAATCCCAAACCCAGAAGAGGCTGAAATAGGAGGATTCTAAGTTTTGGCCCACCTGGGGCTATAATAGGTAGGTAGATAGGTAGGTAGGTAGGTAGGTAGGTAGATGATTGATAGATAGATGACAGATAGATAGATGGTTGGTAGATGATAGACAGGCAGATAGATAGACAGACAGACAGACAGATAGATAGATAGATAAAGGGCTGGTGAGATGACTCAGTAGGTAAAGGCACTTGCCAAGCCTGACAAATTGAGTTCTATCCCAGATCCCACATCGAGAAACAAAATAACTAACTTGTGCATGTTGTCCTCTGACCTACACACATGTAATGAATTTTAAAAATATTTTTAAGGGGCTGGAGAGATGACAGTAGTTAAGAGCACTGACTGCTCTTACAGAGGACCCAGGCTTAATTCCCAGCACCCACATGGCAGCTCACAATGGTCTGTAACTCCAGTTCCAGGGGACTCTACACCTATGGCAATACCAATGCAAATAAAATATATAAAAAATATTTTTAAGAATAAGGTGGGTGGTGGTGGCTCATGCTTTTAATTCCAGCACTTAGAAGGCAGAGGCAGGTGGATCTCTGAGTTCAAGGCCAGCCTGGTCTCAAGTGAGTTCCAGGACAGCCAGGGATACACAGAGACCCAGTCTCAAAAAAACAAACAGCCGGGCGGTGGTGGCGCACGCCTTTAATCCCAGCACTCGGGAGGCAGAGCCAGGCGGATCTCTGTGAGTTCGAGGCCAGCCTGGGCTACCAAGTGAGTTCCAGGAGAGGCGCAAAGCTACACAGAGAAACCCTGTCTCGAAAAACCAAAAAAAAAAAAAAAAAAATACCGTCTTTCTTGCCGGGCGGTGGTGGCGCACGCCTTTAATCCCAGCACTCGGGAGGCAGAGCCAGGTGGATCTCTGTGAGTTCGAGGCCAGCCTGGTCTCCAAAGCGAGTTCCAGGAAAGGCGCAAAGCTACACAGAGAAACCCTGTCTCGAAAAACCAAAAAAAAAAAAAAAAAAAAAAAAAAAAAAACAAACAAACAAACAAAAAGAAAATAATAGCATGGTATGGTGGTACAGACCTTTAATTCCAGTCCTTGGGAAGCCACGGCAGTCAGATCTCTGTGAGATCAGCCTGGTCTTCATAGAGACTTCTAGGTCAGTTCTAGGGCTACTTAGATACACTCTGCCTCAAAAACTGCCCCCAACAACTGTATGGTGGCTGAATCAAGAGGATAACAGATCGTTCAAGGCCAGCCTGGTCCACATAGCAAGTTCTAGGCTAGCCAGGGTTACATAATGAACCTTGCCTTTAAACAAACAAACAAACAAACAAACAAATAAATAAATAAATAAATACGAGCAAATAAAAAACCTGGGTATGGTGGTTCACCTGTTAATCCCAGGATATGGGAGGTGGAGGCAAGAGGATCAGGAGTTTAAGGCCAGTTTGTTATACAGCAAGCTGTAGGCCAGCCTGGGCTACCTGAGACTGTGTCTCAAAAAGTAAAAAAGAGGCCGGGCGGTGGTGGCGCATGCCTTTAATCCCAGCACTCGGGAGGCAGAGCCAGGCAGATCTCTGTGGGTTCGAGGCCAGACTGGTCTCCAAAGTGAGTTCTGGGAAAGGCGCAAAGCTACACAGAGAAACCCTGTCTCGAAAAACCAAAAATAAATAAATAAATAAATAAATAAATAAATAAAAATAAAAAAATAAAAAAGAACTAACAACAGTAGCCCTAGGGTTCATACCTTGTCATACTGGCAGTCAAAAGGCCGAAGCAGGAGGATTGCCCTTTCAGGCCTCCCTAAGCTAAAATGACACTCTATTTCAAACAAGCAAAAAACAGCCCTGCCTAGTGGTACATGCTTATAATCTCAATACTCAGGAAACAGAGGCAGGATAGTAGCAAATTCAAGCAATATTAAAAGGGGAGAGGCTGGCTGAGGCTGGGTTTGTGGCTCAGTTGGTAGAGGGCTAGCCTAGCATGCATGAAGCACTGGGTTCCGTTGCTAGCACTGCATAAACCAGAGGTGATACTGCTTGCCTATAATCCCAGCACTGGGGAAGTAGAGGCTGAATGACCAGGAGTTGGAAAGTCATCTTCAGCTAAAAGCTACTTTGAGGACAGCCTAGGACACCTGAGACTCTGCTTCAAAAACAAAGCAAAACAACCATCAGAGAAGACAGAGAGAGAGACAGAGACAGAGACAGAGACAGACAGAAACAGAGACAGAGACAGAGAGAGAAAGCGAGCATGGCAGGCAGAGGCTTGCAGACCTACAGCCTCTGGTCAGTCAGGTTCCCACACATTCAGTACTGGCAGGGACATAATCAGCTTCCCCAGCTAACCTGAGCAGCTACTACCTCTGTCCCCAAACTGCCCTTCCTCCCTTCTGGATGTCCAGTCTTCCCCGCAAGCAATATACCTCTGTGAGGGGTCGGGGCCGCTTTTCAACTGCAAACTCAGTGTGGCACAGCTCGCAGTAGCTGGTATTGGAGGAAGACAGCCATTTCTCCAGGCAGCTCTTGTGCACAGCTCCTAGCGTGCCGGTGCAGCCACATGGGGACAGCAAGTTCTCCCCATTTGCTCCCTCGTGACAGATTCGGCAGAAGGGACAGTCACTGGAAGGATACAGAGATAAGACTTGTAAATGATGGTAGGGCTTCTTGATTATACTGGCATCACTGTTTGCTAAGATATAAGCTCACTGTCACTCCCAGGTTGCTGTTTGGTAAACTCCTAGTCATCCTTCAGCAGCCCAGCTATAGATGTCCTCTCCTCAGGTAGCTTTTTCAAACTCCCATTGGTAGGCCCATGTGTCCCCTCCCCAGAGCTACTGTGGGCTTTTTAGCCTAGAGTGAGCATCCTGTCCACCTGCCTGCCTAATGTTTTCTTCTTTTGATGAAATACTATCATGATATTCCTAAGTAACTATCCACTCTTGGTGGTCTTTCTGAGGGTTTATATAGCCAACCTGACACCATGTAGAATAATCACCTTAGAGACAAATCTCTGGGCATGTCTGTGACAGATTTTCTAAATTAGATTAAGAGAAGTGGGACGACCCATCCCAAACATGGATGATACCATTCCATGGGGTGGGGTCCTAGACTGAATAAAAAAGAGGAAGCAGGGACATAAGATGGCTCAATGGATAAAGGTGCTTGCTGATAAATCTGATGACCTGAGCTCAATCCCTGGGACCCACATTGTGGAAGAAGAGAATCAACTCCTTCAGGTTGTCCTGGACACACACATGTCATGGGATACACACAGGAGTGTGCACACACACACACACTAATAATTTTTAAAGGAAAAAGCAAATTGAACACAAGCAATTCATCTATCTTATTCCTAAGCATTATGAGTGCAACATGACCAACCACCTCAGATGCTTGTGCCACTGTGACTTCCCAGCCATGATGGAAACAAATCTTTCCTTCCTTAAGTTGCCTTTGTCAGGTGTTTGTCACAGAAACAAGACAAATAACTAATACAGTCCTCAAGGACTACAGCACACACATAATCACACACATACACTAACACACATCACACACACACACACATACACTAACACATGATTATACACACATACACTAACACACATCACACACAAAATTTCAGACATACACTAACACACACACATGCTTACACACATACACTAACACACATCACACACACACATATAATTACACACATATACAGCAAAACACTTGATAACACACATACATTAACAAATACCGCACACACATGATTACATATACATACAAATATACACCACACACAAATTTTTTTAAAATTTTATTTATATATGTATATTTTTAGGTATGAGTACTCTGTCTGCATGCATACCAGAGACAGCTTCAGATCCCATTATAGATGGTTGTGAGCCACCATGTGGTTGCTGGGAATTGACCTTTGGAAGAACAGCCAGTGCTCTTAACCACTAAACCATCTCTCCAGCCCCACACACAAAATTTTTTAAAAAGACATTATCAAAACTCTTGGCTCTATCGATATCTAAAAGTCACACTCTGAGAAACCTGTGCATATGAGAAAATTACTCATTTGTTTTTCTGTGCATGGCTAAGGAAGACAAGGGGTGGGATGGGCGAACAGGCATAGAAACCATCCATAACAGCTGCTGTGTGGAGTCTCTAATTACAGCCCAGTCTCTAGGGAAGTTGAGTTCTTCCTAGGGCAGCTCCAGAAGGCAGGAGGTGTGGCTTTAGGGGACCCATGGGCTATCCAATACATGAGTCATTGTTTTCTAAACATTTCTGCCCAGAGAGCATATTGTCAGGAACACACACACACACACACACACACACACACACACACACACACACACACACACACACACACGAGAGAGAGAGAGAGAGAGAGAGAGAGAGAGAGAGAGAGAGAGAGAGAGAGAGAGAGAGAGCTCTTTTCTCCAGTTTTCTGTTTGTGTGGCTGCGAATCCAGCACTTTGGAGGTAGAGACAGGAGGATCAAGAGTTCAAGGCTGGAAATAAGCCTGGACTACATGAAATCCTGTCTCAAAACAACAGAAATGCCAAACAACCCAGATCCCAAAAGATAGGGCTCACATCTTTCCTTTCAGCCCAGTCTCTAAGAAGTTGTTTTCTTTTGCCATACCAAAAGGCTACCGGGGAGACTGAGGAGATGTTCAATGGGTAAAGAGCTTGCCATGCAAACCTAAGAACTAGAGTTTGGATCCTCAGTGCCCACACAAAACCAGTCAGGTGTGGTGGCCCATGTGTAATCCCGGCACCTAGAAGATGGAGATGGGGTCCCCAGAACAAACTGGGTATCCATTCTAGCAGAATCATCCAGCTCTGGGTTCAAGTCAGAGACCCTGCCTCAACAGCGTGCGTGTGTGCATGGGTGCCTGTGTGTTGGAAAGAGATGAAGAAAGACACCTGATGTCAGCCTCTCACCTCCACAAACACACAAGCAAACAGGTACACACAACTGCACGTGTATATCCCCACACATGCAAACTCTCTCTCTCTCCCTCTCTCCCTCTCCCCCCCACCCCTCACACACACACACACAAGGGCATCCCCAGTTCCTTTCTAATTACACATTCCGATTCACACACACACAGTCACACAAACATAAAAGTTCACAGGAAAGGACTCCCCATTCCGGAAACCAACTCAGGGAAAGGAAGCAGTAAGACTCTTAAGAGCCACGTCAGCTCAGTTTCTTCTGGGAAGCCCTGAAAACTCTGAAACAGCAATTCTTACAAAGGCAGAGAGAGAGCAAGTTATAGTTTACTGAGTATTCCCCATGTATCAGGCACTTTGGGGGCATTTAGTTTAATTGTTTATCTTATATGAGTGCTACATATGACAACCTCCTACCTTGTTTGAGGAGGGTCAGTGTTCATATGTGCTGCATGTGTCAGGCTTGCTCTGAGCTTCTGGAGCTTTACCTGTCTCCACTCCTACCTCAAGGTTTGCAGGCCTGAGTACCATGACTGGATTTCTACATGGATTCTGGGGATTTGAACGCAAGTCCTTATGCTTGTATAGCAGCAGGCCTTTTACTCACTGAATCATCTTTACAAGCCTGTTTTTATTTATTTTAAGACATGGTTTCCAGGGCTACATAGAGAAACCCCGTTTTGAAAAACCAAAAACCAAAACCAAAACCAAACCAAACAAACAAACAAACAAACAAGACATGGTTACATTATGTAGCCCTGACTGTCTTGGAACTCATTATGCAGAACAAGCTAGCCTCAAACTCATAGAGATCTGCCTGCCTCTGATCTCAAGTGCTAGGATTAAAAACATATGCCACCACATCCGACTTCAGCCTATTTTTTTTGCTGTTGTTTGTTTTCAGACGGGGTATCATGTAGCCCATACTGGCCTCTAACTTGCCACCATAGCTGAGGATAACCTTAAATTCCTGGTCCTCCTGTGTCTACTTCTCCAGTCCTGGATGCCAGGCATGTGCCACCATGCCTAACTTTGTTTTTATATTTATTTATTTTTATTTATTTAGAGACAGAGTCTCACTATGTAACCCTGGCTGGCCTGGAACTTGTTATATAGATGAAGCTAGCCTTGAACTCACAAAAATCTGCCTATCTCTGCCTCCTAAGTATGTGTGCAACCATGCTCAATTGTTTTGCTTTTTGAAACAGGGTCTCACTTGCTTTCACTGCATAACCCAGGCTGGACATGGGTTCACAAGTCAATCTCAAACTGATGTTCCTCTCCCCTTGGCTCCCCTTGGTTCCAGAACTGTGGCTATAGGCTATATTCTAAGTGCAATACTGGGCTTCATTTATTTCATTCTCACAATGAGCGTCAGAGGAAAGAGCTCACTTGATTCCACTTTACAGATATGGATAAGTTCAGCTGGGCACTGGTGGTGTACACCTTTAATTCCAGCACTTGGGAGGCAGAGGCAGGTAGATCTCCGTGAATTCGAGGCCAGCCTGGTCTACAGAGGGAGTTCCAGGACAGCCAGAATTATATAGAGGAACCCTGTCTTGAAAAAAAAAAAGTGAAAAGTCCAAGGAAGCTGGGCAATGTGGCGCACATGTATGGTCCCAGTACTAGAAGGCAGAGGTAGGAAGACCAGGAGTTCAAGGCCAGTTAAGCTACATAACAAGCTTGGGGTCAGAATGGGTTACATGGAACTTTGTCTTGAGATTTAAAAAAAAGAAGAAGGAAGGAAGGAAAGCGAGGAAGAGGGAAGGAGAAAAGAGAAGAAAGAGGGGAAAGAAGGAAGGCCTGGAAAAATTTTAACCACTCTGTGTGTGTGTGTGTGTGTGTGTGTGTGTGTGTGTGTGTGTGTGTGTGTGTGTGTGTGTGTCTCACATGTGAGTTACAGGTGCATGTGCCTGTGCACATGCATGTGTAGGCCAGAGCACCATGTCAAGTGTCTTCCTCAACAGGGTCTCTCACTGAACTGGAAGTCTGCATTTTTAGCTAGTCTGGCATGCTAGCCAACAAGCTCTCAGTATCTACCTGTCTCTCCCACCCAACTTGCTGTGGTTGGTTCTCTCTTTCCACTTTTATGTGTGTTCCAAGTGTTGAACTCAGGTTGTCAGGCACATGCAGCCAGTTTTTTTTTTTTGTTTGTTTGTTTTTTTTTTTTTTGTTTTTTGAGACAGGGTTTCTCTGTGTAGCTTTGCGCCTTTTCCTGGATCTCGCTCTGTAGACCAGGTTGGCCTCGAACTCACAAAGATCCACCTGCCTCTGCCTCCCAAGTGCTGGGATTAAAGGCGTGCGCCACCACCGCCTGGCCTGTAGCCAGTTTTTTTACACACTGAGCCATCTTGCCAGCCCAGCATTTTCAGTTTATGATCATTTCAGTTCCAGTGGGCTCCTTAGAACATACCTTCATCATGGACAGAGGCAGCAAAATCCACATTCTGAGGACCATAACACCATATTCTCAGAATACTCTGACCAGAAATCTGTTCCAGATCACTCGGGGAAAGAAAGGTATCCACAGGAGTTTCAGCCCAGGTACTCTTCTCCACAATTCTCACTCCCTGTACTGCTTCTCCAAAGCCTAAGGTCACTGGTGTTGTAAAGCCCTATCCTCTGGGCATGATAGCTTTCATCGTCTTCATCAGAGTAGCTGGGACTATTTGCAAACAACCTTCAAGATCCAGTCTGCTGACTGTTGGCCTTCCCTCCTACAAAGAGGAGGTGGGAGGGTCACTATACCCTCCCCTGAGACCCCAGACACCACCTCCTGCACCTCTCCCTGCTAACTATATTCGATTAATTTCCCAGTTACACATGATCTTGTGTTCTAAGAGGTGCTAGACTATACAGAACATGGGAGGTTCATGAAGGGGGAGTCGATCTATGGTGTTATGGGGAAGTCATCATCTATGCTGGGTGAGACTTTCTGGTGATACAGCTCTTCTGGGGTATCCATGCTCCTGTAAGTAATCACCCACCCACACTCTCTAAGTAACCCCAGTAAACTCATTAGTCCCCACACCTAGGCTTTGGTGGAACTGTACTTTAGTTTGTCATTGGTGTCCTGTCTCTGGGGGATATCAAGGGAGGAAGCAAGCATTTGTTTATATCTCCTCAAGAAAAAGTTCATGAATCAACTTTCAACACTTGATCTTCAGATTTCCCATAATCATCTAGAATTTTAGTGCTGAAGAGAGAATCCATGGCTTTGCTCATACTAAGCAAGCACTCTATCACTAAGCCATATCCCCAGCCGCAATTTGTTCATTTATTAGTAAATTTTAGAAAAGATATTGCTATGTAGACTAGGATGGTCTCACACTCTCTGTAGCCTAGGCTTGCCTTAAACTTTAATCCTCTTGCCTCAGAATTCATGTACTGGAATTTATAACATGTTCTTTGGTGTGTGCTTATGTAAGGTGTATAGATGGGTGCTGGTGAGCATACATGTGTGTGCACATGCTTGTGGAAGCCTCGGGTGTCATTCCTCAGGAGCCATCCACCTTGTTTATTAGACAGAGTCTCCCACTGGCCTAGGAATGTCTACCTTGTTTTTAAAATTACATTTTATTCATTTATTTTGTGTGCGTGAGTGGACAGGTTGGCATGTATGTGCCATGCACACATGTGGAGGTCAGAGGCTAACTTTCAGGAGTTGATTTTCTCCTTCCATCATGTGCATCCCAGGGATCTAATGTAGATAGAACATCAGGCTTTTACCCAATGAGCCATCTCACTGACCGCCATCTTGTTTTTTGAGCCAAGGTCTCTCACTGGCTAGGCTAGCTGGCCAGCAAGTCCCAGGAATCAACCTCTTTCTGCATCTCCAGTTCTGGGATTATAAATATGTGCCTCCACACTCAAGTTTTGGGTGTGGATGTGTGTTCTTGTTGTGGAATATTTAACTATGTAAAGATGTGTTACAGCCGGGCGGTGGTGGCGCACGCCTTTAATCCCAGCACTCGGGAGGCAGAGCCAGGCGGATCTCTGTGAGTTCGAGGCCAGCCTGGTCTCCAAAGCGAGTTCCAGGAAAGGCGCAAAGCTACAGAGAAACCCTGTCTCGAAAAACCAAAAAAAAAAAAAAAAAAAAAAAAAAAAAAGATGTGTTACATTTGTTTTTGCTGCATTTGTGTAATTATGTAAAGATGTGTTGCATTTGTTTAACCTTGCCTGCTAAGGCACCTGATTGGTCTAATAAAAAGCTGAACAGCCAACAGCTATGCAGGAGAGGGATAGGCAGGGATGGTGAGCAGAGAGAATAAGTAGGAGGAGAAATCTAGGCAAGGGAGAGGAGAAGGAGGAGAGAATGAGGGAAAAGGAGAGGGACACTCCTGGGGCCAGAAGCTAGGCAGCCACCAGCCAGCCAGACGTGAGAAGCAGGGAAAGTAAGATATGCAGAAGGAAAGAAAGGTAAAAAGCCCTGAGGCAAAATGTAGATGAAGAGAAACAGGTTAAGTTATAAGATCTAGTGGAACAAGCATAAGATAAGGCTGAACATTCATAACTAATAGGAAGACTCCGTGTAATGATTTGGAGCTGGTTGGTGACCCAAAACAAAAAGCCTGGTACATGTTCCTATTTGTGTGCATGTGTATATGTGTGTGTGAAGGCCAGAGGTCAACATTAGGCACTGCTTTTCAGGGGATGTCCACCTTGTTTTTTAAAGAATGGTCTCTAGTTGGCCTAGCACTCACCAATTAAGGCAGGCTGGCTGAGAGAGCTCCAGAGATCTGCTTGTCTCTCCCTGGGATTATAACACAGGCTACCAAGCCCAGCTTTTTACACAGATTCCAGGGATGAACCTCAGGTCTTCAAGCTTGCATAGCAAGCACTTTTTCAACTGCCCCATCTCCCTCGCCCCATTTACAGACATGTCCCACCACACCCAACTATTTGGTCTCTTTAGTATTTGTCTCTGTGGAGAGGAAGTTCCCAAGGAAGCCAGAAGAGGGTGTTGGATCCCCTGGAGCTAGAGTTGCAGACAGTTGTGAACTGTCCATTGTTGGTGCTGGGAACTGAACTCTGATCTTCTGCAAGAACAGCAAGTGTTCTTTAACCACTGAGCCATCTCTCCAACCTCTGTATTTGGTTTCTTCTCTCTGGCATGTTCACCCCTTTGCCTCTCAGTGACTGGACCTAACCTCAGACTAGGAGAAAATCACTCAACCCAGAAAGAAATGGACAACAGCCAGGATACTACTCACCTCGGTGTGTCCAAAGCCCGGATGACAGTTGAGAGCAGTCGGCCATCCCTTGAAGTCACCTGTGCCACATACTGTGGTGGCCCAAGGCCTGTGGCCTCCACAACCTTGGAGAAGGCAGGGCTGCCAGAGCAGTCACACAGGGAGCCAGGGAGGTGGCAGCAGTCACCTGTCGTCATGGCCACAAGGAGCCTTCTGTCCTCAGGGCCTGAGGCCCATGGTCCCAGGAGCCTAAGGGGAGGCCAGCAGAGAGATCAAAGGCAAAATTAGTGAGTCACAGTAACAGTTGGGTTACTCTTTTTTTTTTTTTTTTTTTGAGGTATGTATGTATGTATGTGTATACATGTGCTTGCAAATGTATGTATACGTGCAAGTGAGTGTGTACCAAGGCACATGAGTAGAGGTCAAAGGTCTGAGAACACCCATGTCTGCCACCTTGTTTGAGACAAAGTCTCTTGTTTTCTACTGTGTACACTAGGCCAGCTGACTCCCCATCTTCCAGAGATTCTCCTGTCCCCACCTCCCGTTTTCACAGTATGAGGACTGGGATTGAGGCTTATTATGCCTGGCTTTACATGGGTTCTGGGGATGTAAACTAAAGTCCTCACATTTGTGCGGCTAGCCTTTACCTACAAAGTGGTCTCCCCACTCTGAGTCCCTATTTTGAACTCACTCTATAGTCAGGCTAGCCTGGAACTTAAGATCTAAGACTTCTGAATGGTGGGTTTTAGATCATGCCTGGCTCTTGAGTTCCATCTTGTCAGGGATTGTGATGGTTATTTAGTTGTCAAACTGACACAATCAAGAATCACCTGGAAGCTGGGTGGTGGTGGTGCACATCTTTAATCCCAGCACTCAGGAGGCAGAGGCAGGTGGATCTCTGTGAATTCAAGGCCAGCCTGGGCTACATACAGAGTGAGTTCCAGGAAAGGTTCCAAAGCTACACAGAGAAATGAAGAACTGTCTAGACTAGGTTGGGATATGGTTGTGGGAAGGGGCTCTCAACTATCTAGACTATGCTGGGATGTGGCTGTGGGAAGGGGCTCTCATGAGGAGTTGTCTAGACTATTTGGGATGTGTTCGTGGGTAGCAGTTCTCATGAGGAATTGTCTAGGTTGGGATGTGGTTGTGGGATGGGGCTCTCATGAGGAACTGTCTAGACTAGGTTGGGATGTGGTTGTGCCTTTGAGGGACTTTTTCTTTTTAAATTATGTTTGTCTTGTGTATGTTTATGTATGTGCACAGCATGAATGTGGAGGTCAGAGGACAGCTAGCAAGAGTCAGTTCTCTCCTTCCACAATATGGATCCTGAGGGTTGATCTCAAGTCATTAGGCTTGGTGGCAAGTGCTTTTACCTGCTGAAACATCTGGAGTCCCTTCTACCTAGGTATTTCCCTCCCTTCGCTTCCTTTCTTTCTCTGTTTCTTTTTGAGACACAGCTTCTCTGTGCAGCCTTGGCAGTCCTAGAACCTGATCTGTAAACCAGGCTAGCCTTGAACTCACAAAGTCCGCCTGCCTCTGCCTCCCAAGTGCTAGGATTAAAGACTTGTGCCACCACCACCAGGCCCTTTTTTTTCCCTAACCAATGGTTTGTTTGTTTTTTAGTTGACAATTTCATTTTTGTTTTGTTTTGTTGTTGTTGTTGTTGTTGTTGTTTTCTGAGACAAGGTTTCACTGTGTATCCCTGACTGTTCTGGAACTGACTATGTAAACCAGGCAGGCCTAGAACTCACAGAGATCCACCTCCTGAGTGCTGGGATTAAAGGTGTGTGCCACCACTGCCTAGCCCTAGGTATTTTCTTAATTGGTTAGCTGAGGTGGGAAGACCCTCCTTGAAGGAAGGTGAGCTACACACTGGACTGAATGAAAAGGATAGCGTGAGCTGGGCACTAGCCTGCATGCATTTATTGCTTTCTGTTCCTAATTATAAATGTGATATGACAAATGCCCTCCAGTTCTTGCTGCTGTGACTTCCCTGAAATGATGGCCTGTAACCTGGAACTGTGAACTAAAATAAATCCTTTCTTCTCCCCTAAGTTGCTTTTGTCAGGGTATTTTATCAGTGTCACAGAACTGACACTAAGACAGGACTCTAAGATTTGCCTCTTTGAATGTATATTTGCATCTGTAAAATGTAGATGTGAGAACTCTATGATGTGATATACACAACTTAGCCCAGGCTTGGAGGACAGCTGGATGTGTGATGGATTTTTTTCTAGTCTTCTAGAAAAAGCCAGGCACGGTCCCAATTCCAAATCCTACAAATCAGCCTCCATGTCACATTTCCACATGGAACAGCAATTGAAAGTAACTACACACCTACTGTGTGCCCGGCCCTTCACTCAGTTTTTTCCACAGCCAGGACCATCTTGTTCTAGCTAAGACCAAATCCTTGAGACAGGACTAAAAACACATTAAGCTGTCTTTAATGGAAACAGAATGCATATAGAGAGGTTGGGAGCATGACTCAAGAGGTAGAATACCTGCCTAGAATCCAGTGAGGGCCTGTGACAGATGGAACAGTAGTAAAGTGCTGCCCTAGCATGTGTGAGACTCTGGATTCAATTTCCAACCAACACAAACACACACACACACACACACACACACACACACACACACACACACACACACACACGGATGGATGTACGGACGGACAGACGGACGGGGCAGGGCGGGGGGAGGGGGGAGATAGAGAATTAGAAACTCAAGTGTTTTGCACAGCACCAGAATGGTGAGTCATTCAGGTCCCTTGTGACTCATGGCCTCTGTTGGACTGTGCACTCTTGGAGATCTCAATTCATCAAGGAAATGACACATGTATGTGTCCCCATAAGACCAGTTGTTCTATCCTCAGTTCCCAAGGAGAGGCTACAGGAAATAGTAAATACCTCAGGAAGCTATTCTGAAGTCTACTCTTCATGACTTTGGTGGAATTCTGCCCTCTGCCTCAGGGTCCAATAAGCAAAAAGGAACCCTATGCAGCCTCATCCTCTTCTCCAGTGTTGCAAGAAGGGAATTCCAGCTTTCCAATCTCTGTGTAAATTTCCTCTAAGAATGTTTTTTCCTTTCTAGTAGCAGGATATGAACTTAGAGACCAGCCTTACCAGGCAATCACCCTGCCACTAAGCTATACTCCTAGCTCTCTGCACCCCACCCCTCCACACACACACTTTTAAAACTTTTCCTTTTTGATTTTCAAAATTTTTCATTAATTTTGTTATGTTCATTTATGGAGGAGAGAGTGGATGTGCCACAGAGTGCATGTGAAAGTCAGAGGACAACTTGCAAGAGTCAGTTCTCTCCTACCAAGTGGGTTTTGGGGGCTCAAACTCAGGTCATCAGGCTTGGTGGCAAGCACTTTACTCTATGAGGTATCTATCTCACTGTCCGGTAATGTTTTAATTTGAGAGTACCTCCAAGCTACATAGGCCGACCTTGCCTGGAGCTTGCTCTGTAGTCTAGGCAGACCTTGAACTTAAGACCCTCCTGCCTCAGCTCTTCAAGTAGCTGAGGTCATAGGACTGTGGCATCATGCCTGACTCTTCTGAGAAATCCCTGAAAGAACAGAAGGCTACTTAAGACATCAATCCAGAGCCAAAGATCACTGGTTTCAATTTGTCCAACACCCAAGACTCTTGTCTCTAAGAGTAAAATCCAGAGCCCACAGCAACCCTAATAGTATTTGTAAGTTCCAACTGATAGGGCCAGCTCCGCCCCAAGTCAACTCTTACTAGCCCTGCCTGTGAAAACCAGAGACCTAAAATACATGGAACGTAAATGATTAACTGACTTTTTGCACTCAGACAGTCAGCTGACAGACCAGCTCTTCCCTGAGGTGCTCAGCTAAAAACCCAGCATGACCTCTGAGGCCTCCATAGCTAAGCCACCATAGGTCAGATAAGCAAGTATCAACCAAAGCCAGACAGCCATGAGGAAGGCTGAGAACCTGAGATAACAGCCATAGAGCATCAGCCAGGACTGCCTTGTTGTGGACACTGATGTTCTGTCAACCAGAATGTACAGTTGAGAGGTCAGTAGGGAAGTGCTGGGCCCTCTGAGAGAATGCAAGCTGAAAAAAGTCCACCTCGACCTCTGATGATTTGTTTTAGATTTTTTCCCCTTTTCTTTGGTTCTTTTTCTTTTTTTTTCTTCCTTCTCTCTTTTTTTTTTTTTTTTGAGACAGGATTTCTAGAATTCACTATTTAACCAAAGATGACCTTGAACTATCATTTTAAATGTTTTTAAATTGTATTGTTTGTATTTTATTTTATGTGTATCTGCCTGCATGTGTATCTATGTACCACATGTACAGCTGCTGCCTGTGAGGCAAAAAGAGGGCATCGGATCCCCTGGAACTGGAGCTACAGATGGTTGTGAACTACCATGTGGATGCTGGGAATTGAACCCAGGTCCTCTGGAAAAGCACCCAGTGCTCTTAACCCTGAGCCATCTCTGCAGCCCTGACCTTGAACTCTTGAAAGTCACCTTCCAAATACTCCCATTTCAGGAATACCATGTTTGGTGTATGTAGTTCTGGAGATGGAACCCAGAGCTTCGTGCATGCTAGGTAAACACTCTACCAGCTGAACTACACTCCCAGTGGGCTGGCTCGCTCTCTCTCTCTCTCTCTCTCTCTCTCTCTCTCTCTCTCTCTCTCTCTTCTTGGTGACAGGGTCTCACTATACAGCTCAGGCTAGAACTCTTGATCATCCTGCCTCTGTCTTCCAAGTTTTAGAAGATGACAGATCTTAGAATTTATACCAACAATTGTGCTTACAAGAATCATCACAATTCCTTACTTTACCTACTATTGGGGGGGAAGTCCACCAACACTAGTAAATCTGCTCATACTAGTCCATAAATTGCAAAATAGTCATAGAAATGTTGGGCATGGTAGCACATTCCTATGATTCCAGCATTCTAAACACAGAGGCAGGAGGATCAAGAGTTCATGCTTATTTTGGCTACAGAGAGAGCTAGAGATCAGGTGGGGCTACAAGAGACCTCAATTCAAAAAACAAAACAAATATCAGCAGGTAAAATGGCTCAGCAAGTAAAGGCCCTAATGACTTGAGTTCTGTTCCCAGAACCTGTATGGTGGAAGAGAAAAAACACACATACACACACACACACACACACACACACACACACACACACACACACACACACAGAAATAAATGTTTAAAAAGTAACATCAGCAAAAATGTATTAAACACTGGATACTAAAGCTGGGCTTGTGGTTCAGCTGGCAGCATGTTTATCTAGCATGCACAGAGCACTGAGTTTGCTCCCTATGGCCTTATAAAACTGAGTATGGGGGTACACACTTATAATCCCAGCACTCAGGACATGTAAGCAAGAAGATTAGAAGTTCAAGGTCATTCTCAGCTATATATTGAGTTTGAGGCCAGTTTGGGCTACAGGAGACCCTGTTTCAAAAATAAACAATACACACAAAATATTAGATTGCCAAGCTATCTGCTTACATTCAAACTTCAAACAATTGTTATTAAATGTCTCCTTCAAAGGTCACATCCCTGGAGTACATCTCTTGAACCACTATGGCTAAAGTGACACCTCATGGCATGGGGTCCTTTCTGAAATGTTTGTTAATAAACCTGTCATGCCTGTCGTCGTACTCTTCAGTGACTCTGGAAAGGAGGGACTTTGTCAGACATTCTTCCTGCTGTCCCCAGCACCCCGCCCTAGATCTAGCACAGAGTGATTGCACACAGTATTGCTGTATTCATTTCTCATTCTCAACTCTGTAACAAATTGGAAGAATCAGTTAGATGAGCCTTAGAAGCTATCCTGCCAGTCTCTATAATGGGAAACAGTTCTAAGGCTTTCATCAGGTTTTCACAACCAAAGTATAAGCCCAGTAATTAGCCTCACTGATTGAAGAAGAGGCCAAAGTTCAGGAGGGATGCCTATTCACTCAAGGTCACACAGCTGGAAAGAGACAGAGCCAGGATTTAAACTTAAACTGTACAGTGAGTTATCTGGTCTTTAAGGGACACTAGTTCTTTTTTGTTGACTTATTTAATTTTATTTATTAATTTTATTTTATATGTATGCTATGTGTGTCCAGTGAATGCTTGAAAAGGCCAGAAAAAGGAGTTGGATTCCCTAAAACTGGAGTTACAGATGGCTGTAAGTCACCATGAAGGTTCTGGGAACTGATCCTAGGTCCTCTGCAAGAGCACTAAGGATTCTTTTTTTCTTTTTCTTTTTCTTTCTTTCTTTTTGTTTGTTTGTTTTGAGACAGAGTCTCTCTGTGTAACAGTCCTGGAACTCCCTCTGTAGACCAGGCTAGCCTTGAACTCACGGAGATCAGCCTGCCTCTGACTCATGAGTGCTAGGATTAAAAGTCTGGGCCACCACTGCCCAGCTCAGCAAGTATTCAAAAACCAGCCACTAGTTTTTGTTCCTTTGTTTGCTTCACTTTTGAGACAGCATTTCATTACATAAGCCACACCGGCCTTGAATTCTTGATAATTTTCCTGCCTCAGCCTCCTGTGTGCTGGGATTACAGGCAGGCAGCACCACACTCAGATTCTGTGTTTACTTTTTTTGGAAGGAGTGAGCCAACAAGGAGCATGGGAAAGGGTTTACTTCTGGAGTCTGGGCACCTTACCAGTGATCACATCACTAAAGAGAATGTCTCTCCCTCCCTCAGCAACCATAAACTGCCTATAGATTCTCAGGAAAAGGTACCAGGCTTCATGGGTACCACTGCGCCTCCCCACCCCCCCCATGTGTAATATTAGAGATTGAACCCCGAATCTCACTGAGCTACATTCCAGACTCTTATTTTTTTCCACCTAGAGTCTTAGGGACTCCATGGCCATGTGACCCTGGCTGTACTCAAACCTGTAGCAGTCACTGTGCTCATGCTCCTGCGTGCTTGGACTGACTATAGGCATGTGCCACCATGCCCAGCTTCCAGGGCTTTCTTTTAATTTTTTAAAAATTTTATTTTAAAGACTGGTAAGATGGCTCCTTAGGGAAAGATGCTTGCCACCACCAAGTCTGATAAGCTGAGTTTAATCCCCAGAACTCACATGGTAGGAGGAAAGAACTGAATCCCAAAAGTTGTCTTGTGATCTATCTCTACATGTGCTGTAGTGAGTGAGGGCTCACAAACTTACACATAAACAAAACAAATAAATAAATGAACAAATGTTTTAAAATATCATGGGGCTAGAGAGATGAGTCAGCAGTTTCAAGCACTTACTGCTCTTGCAGAGGACCTGAGTTTGGTTCCCAGTACCTACATGGTGGCTCAAAACTGCCTGTAACTCCAGTTGCAGGAGATCCACCACCCTCTTCCAGCCTCTGAGGGTTCTTACATAATAGGCATAAATTCATACAGGCACACATACATAAATTAAAAACTAGCCAGGCATGGTGGCACACACATTTAGTCCCAGCACTTGGGAAGCAGAGTGAGTTGGATCTCTATGAATTCAAAATTAGCCTGGTCTCCTTATGGAGTTCCAGGACAGACAAGGTTACATAGTGAGACCTTGTCTCAAAAACAAAATAAAATAAAAATAATTTTTTAAAAAAAGCACTAAACAAAACCAGAGTTATACTAAGTAACCCCATCAGGCCTTGAACTCTTCCTGCCTCAGCCTCCAGAGTACCTGAGATAATAACAGACATGTGCCACCATGGCCCATGACCTACATGCTTTATCCTGGCTCTGCCACTGATGTTGTATGTCCTGGTTCAAGCTAATTTGTTTTTCTGGGCCTCATCTGTCTTTTTTATTTTGGAGTGTGTGTGTGTGTGTGTGTGTGTATTGTGTATACTAGGGATTGAACCCAGGGCCTAGCGTGTGCTACGGAAGTACTGAACTACATCCCCAGTCCAGAAACTGAATTCTAATCCCAGAAGTTCTGCTTCTTGTTTACTGTGTGGCCTCAGGCAACAGCCTAAACTTCGCTGAGTGTCAATTTGCTCATTTAGACGAGAGGAATTATTTTTAGTATTTCCACCTAGTATGTTTCCCACTAACCACATAAATTCTGACTACAGAGTTTTTAAAAAGTGTTTTCAATTTTATTTATTTTGTGCACATGCATGTGGGCGTACTCATGCAAGGGTGTGCCTATGGAGTTCAAAAGACAACTTTCTAGAGTCAGTTTTTTCTTTAACCATATGAGACCTTGAGACAGAACTCAGGCAAGCACCTTGGGCAGCTGAGCCATCTTGGCAGTCCCTGACTAGCGTTTGAAAAACAACAATTTCAGTACTCTGCACTCTGAGTAGCTTTTTTGTGAAGCACCCAACTCTTTATAATGTTAATTATTATCCAAACAGAACCGTTATGAAGAGGGTTACAGAGTGACATTAGCCACTTATTAACCACCTACTGTATGCCAGGCGCTTTCCTCATCAACCATCTCCTAAATCAGGTTGGCTCCGGGATGACCCACTTTTCACGGATGGGGAAACCGAGGCTCACGGAGGTTCTTGCTGCGCGCTGAGGCACCGAGACCTCTCACCAGCCCAGAAATAAAAACCGAGGTGTCTGCGTCCCGAGCAGGGTCGAGGCCAAGAGTGCAGACCTAGCTGTTCCGCCCGAGTATTGAGCCGGAGCCTCGAACCCGGAACCGAGTTGGACCCGCCTGCTTACTCGGGCCTGACCCGCTCTTCCGTGCCTACCTGATTTGCGGCCGGGCCGGGCGGCCGCGCAGGCCCCACGGTTTTCCCTGGCCCGGGTCCCGGCCCGGCCCGGCCCGTCTGCAGCTGCTTGCTCCGCTCCGGCCGGCACCTGCGTCCGGGCACCGCCCGCCGAGCGGACAGCGCGGCGAACCAATGGAGACCGCCTCTCAACCACATCTACCAATCACCGTGCACGTCACGCCCCAGGAGGTGGGGCCTACAGCTACGGGGACGTCCTGGGCGGTCCAGGCCCCGCGGCGCCGCAGCTTCTGGCTCCGCCCCTGCCGTGTCCTGACTCCGCCCCCAGAATGGGCCCCGCCTCATCCCGGCTCCTCCCCAACCCAAGCTCAAACTGTAGACTTGCTGCCAGCGCCTGCTGCAGAACAAAGGCGCGCTTAAGTAAACAACTCCTCAACAAAACTGAACGTGACACTTGCCAAGTGACTTCTTTACGCTTCTTTTTTTCCCGTTATTTTGAAAACAAAGTCTTGTGTAGATCAGGCTAGTCTCGAATTCACTCTATAGCGGAGGATGACCTTGAACCTCTGATCCTCTGTCCTCACTTTCCCAGTGCTGTGGGGTGCTAGAATGGAATCAAGGGCTTCGTAAGTGCTGGACATTCGTCCTTATCACACTTACCAATCCTAGGGTAAGGAGAGATAGTATGATCACTAAACCAGCCCAGAAGAGTTAGGGTGCTGTGGGTTGTGGAGGAGACTAAAGCCAACAGCTTTTATTCGTTAACTCATTCATGCAAGAGATACATTTTTTTAAAAATGGAGCAAGAAGCTGGGCAGTGTTGGCACACTCCTGTAATCCTAGCACTCAGGAGGCAGAGGCAGGTGGATCTCTGTGAGTTCGAGGCCAGCCTGGTCTACATAGTCAGTTCCAGGACAGCCAGGGTGGCTACACAGAGAAACCCTGTCTCAAAAACAAACAAACAAAGAAACAAAAAAGAAAAAAATGAGCCGGGCGGTGGTGGTGCACGCCTTTAATCCCAGCACTCGGGAGGCAGAGGCAGGTGGATCTCTGTGAGTTCAAGGCCAGCCTGGTCTACAAAGTGAGTTCCAGGAAAGGCGCAAAACTACACAGAGAAACCCTGTCTCGAAAAATAAAAAAAACAAAAACAAAAAGAAAAAAATGGATCAAGAGATGATGGTAGAAAGAGCCGTGGAGACGGCTCAGTGAGCAAGAGCTCTTGCCTGGCAAACATGAGGATCTGAGTTAAAGTTCCTAGAACCCACATAAAAAAAGGCTGAATGACGCCTTGAACTCCTGTAACCCTAGTGTTGTGGACGGTGGAGGCATGAGAGTGGCTGGGGCTTACTGAAGTGTCAATCTAGTACTAGTTTTACTAAGAGACTCTGCCTTAAGAGAATGAAGTGAAAAGAGAGATACCCATGCATACAAACTTGTTTGTTCTGCTTGAACACACACATACACACAGACACGCTCAGACACACAAATATACGAACAAATAAAATACAATACTTAGTAGAACTTGCCTAGCATACACAGAGCCCTGACCTTGATCACCAGCACCATATAATCTGGACATGGTGGTACATACCTATAATACCAGCACTCAGGAGGTTCCAGGTCATCCTCAATTACACAGGAAATTTGAGGCCAACCTGAGCTACACGAGACCATATCAAGAGAAACAAACAACAACAACAAAAGATCAAAATTCAGAAGGTAGCACTATTATGGTACAGTACTGTTCAGGACCCTGGGGACACATTAACTAATATGAATATTGTGAGACAAACATTAGCAATTATTAAATCATTTTTTGTTTGTTAGAAACAGGGTCTTTCTATATAGCCCAGGTGCTGCCTTACCCTCACAAGTGTAAGATTACAAGCATGTGTTATCATACCCTCACTTTTCATTATTTATTACTATTACTATTCCAGTGCTTTGGATGGAGTCATAAGCCTCAAATATGAGGTAGGTGCTCTACCACCAAGCTACACCCCTAAGCTCCATTTTGTTGCTGTTTTTGATTTCTTTTTTTGATACAGGCTCTCAAGAAGCCCAATCTGGCTTTGAACTGGCTATTCAACCAAGGATGACCTTGAACTCCTGCTTCTAAGTGTGGGCATGGCTCTCATGAATCACCACACCTGACTTTAGTAACTGTTTTTGAGTATTAACATCAGAAACAATGTGGAGTCACTTTTGTTCAATTCCTACAGCAATAGTAAAAAGCCATTTAAGGCCAGCCTGATCTATAGCACAAGTTCCAGGACATGCTCCAAACTACAGAGAAACCCTGTCTTGAAAAAAAAAAAAAGAAAAAAGAAAATTAAAGCCACATTGTGGTGGTGCACGACTTTAATCCCAGCACTATTGGGAGGCAGAGACAGGCGAATCTCTGTGAGTTCAAGGCCAGCCTAGTCTACAGAGCAAGTTCCAGGACAGGTTCCAAAACTACAGAGAAACTCTATCTCGAAGAACCAAAAAAAAAAAGAGTTTAAAAGGCTGAATGTGTGTGGTGGAACAGGCCTTTAATCCCAGCCTTCAGAGGCAGAAGGAGGCAACTTCACAGCCATATACACATATACACATATACACAGTGAAACCCTGTGTCATCAAAAACAAACAACAGAAAAGAAAAAAAAAAGAAAAAAACCCCTAGAAATTATAAAAGAGGATATTTCACTTATCCATGCCTCCATAACAACCATAACAAAAGTGATTACAGAGGACATTGGAACTTTACAAAAATATTTATGCAAGGACATCTGCTGAACAGTGTTTGCACTGTCTCGGATTGACACCACTCTTGTTATTGTTCACTATCTCTAAGGATAACTGATTCAAAATAACTTATGTAATCCTTCTCGTTTTGCCTTTATAGTATTCTCCTTGCCTCTGTCTCTCTAAATATACACTGGATCTACAATGATACACATATTGCCATCATGGGGCTATACATTATCCATCTTTTTTTATTCTTGTTTTGTTGTTTTTGTCTGTGACAGGATCTCATGTATCCCAGGCTGACCTCTATTTTGCTGAGTAGCCAAAGGGTGTAGCTTTTGCCTCTACCTCTTGAGGACTGGGATGGCGGGCCTGCATCAAATCACCACTTTGGTATCTGATGCTGGAGATGGAAGCCCAGGCTTTACGCATGCTAGGCAAGCACTCTACCTACTGAGTACAGCCCCTGTCCTGCTTTTTGTTTTTTTTGAGATAGGATCTTACAATGTAATCTAGGCTGTTCTTTTTTTTTTTTTTTTTTTCAGAGCTGAAGACCAAACCCAAGGCCTTGCACTTGCTAGGCAAGCGCTCTACCACTGAGCTAAATCCCCAACCCTGGGGTGGAGAGATGGCTCAGTGGTTAAGAGCACTGACTGCTCTTCCAGAGGTCCTGAGTTCAATTCCCAGCAACCACATGGTGGCTCACAACCATCTGTAATGAGATCTGGTGCCCTCTTCTAACCTGCAGTCATACATGCTGTATACATAATAAATAAATAAATAAATAAATAAATAAATAAATAAATAAATAAATAAATAAATAAATAAATAAATAAATCTTAAAAAAAAATCCCCAACCCCGTAATCTAGGCTGTTCTTGAGTCATGATAATCCTCTTGCTTCAGCCTCCCACATACTAGGAATGCATTTAGGTGCTATCATGCTCAGCCACTTCCTAAATATGAGCACACTTTTCCATAATCAGTTAACAACCTTCAAGATCAGAAAGTTAACATTAATCCTGTATTACCATATAATTTTCAAAGCCCTTTCAAAGTTTGAATGATATCTTTTAAAGGTAGGGCTAGGTGATAAAGTTCAGGGTGTAGAATCTCCCAGCAGGGCCTAAGGGCCTGGCTCAATGGTAGAACCCCTGCCCCCAACATGAACAAGATGCTGGGTTCATTCCTACCACCCAGGAGTGGGGATGGAACAGTTCCTCAGTTGTGCCTTGTCTTCATGGCCTTGATACTTTTCAAAATGACAGGCTAGATATTTTGTAGACTAACCCTTCATTTGAAAATATCTACATTTCTTCCTCATGATTTTTTTGTGCAGAAAGTACAGAAACAACATTGTGTTCTCAAGATGTATACAGTGTTAATATCCTCCACTCCTGATTATGCTGAGTTGAAATGATGTCTGCCTGTTTCTCCAGTGTGAGTTAGTGTGTGCCATATTTGTCAATAATGCTTTATTATTTTTGGGAAAATATTTTGAAATGAATTAAATATTGTTTATCAACAAATATTTGCCAGCAATTTGATATCCATTATTGTCTGATTCGATTGTTATTATTGTTCCTGGCCATATAGGTCAATAAATCCACTGCCTCAGTTTCCAGTTTTACGAAAAAATTAGGAAACAGAAATTAGGAGAGGAATATAGATCTACTTATAGTTTGGGGTTGAGGATACAGCTTAGCTGGTAGCATGCTTGCCTAGCATTTACCCAGGCTCTCCCTGGGTTCCACCACACAACAGGGCATGGTATCCAATGTCTGTATCCCATCACTTAGAAACTGGAAACAGAGAATCAGGAATTCAAAGTCATTCTCATCTATATATCAAGTTAAAGTTCAGCCTAGACTACAGACATTGTCTTTAAAATATTTTTCTTTTACACTTTGGCCAAATTTGAGAGCTCTAATTTCTCTCCACCATGAATATAGCCCTTACGGTTATAGAAAGCTGAGAGAAAAAGGCTAAAACAGATGTAAATTTAGTTGTGACATGGGTTCAGGGGTCTTTTTCTGGGACAGAAGACAATTTTAACTTTTTAAGATTATTTTTATGTTCTGTTTATGAGTGTTTTGCTTGTGTGTATGCATGTACGCATGTGTGTGCAGTTCATGTAGAATCCAGAAGGACTTAGATTCCCTGGAACTGGAGTAACAAATGATTGTGAGCTACCCTTTGAGTTCTGGGAATCTAACCTGAGTCCTCTACAAGAGCACACAGTGCTCTTAACTCCAGCCCCACAGAGACAATGTCTTTATTCAGGGCTGGAGGAAAATATGGCCTTAGAGACTCTTTAAAATAAAATTACACTTACTTACCAAGTGTGTGTGTGTGTGTGTGTGTGTGTGTGTGTGTGTGTGTGTGTGTGAGTGTGTGTGTCTGTCTGCCATGGTGCCCATTTGGAGTTTAGAAGACAACTTGTAGGAATCTTTTCTCTCTACTATGTGGGTCACTGAGATTAAACTCAAGTTCTCATGCCTGGCAACAGGTGGCTTTACCCACTGGCCCAAGCACACCCCTGTTTTATTTTCCATTTTATTTTTATTCCACACTGCAGTTCAACTAGCTATCTAATTGTGGATGGCCTTGAACTCCTGATCCTCCTGCTCTCACCTCAAGAGTTCGGAGATGACTGGCCTGCACTACCACTCACGGTATTTGTGGTGTTGAGAAGAAAACCCAGGTGTGGGTGCTAGGTGAGCACTCTACCAACTGAACTACATTCCCATTTTGTTTAGCTATTATCATTATTGGTGTGTGAATGTGTGTGTGTGTGTGTGTGTGTGTGTGTGTGTGTGTGTGTGTGTGTGTGTGTATGTGTGTGTGTGTATGAGCATGGACATTTTTAATCCTCTAAGGTGCCTCCTCTACCTCCTTTGTGAAAGCACAAAGAGACTTGGGTTTTTCATTTGTTTGTTTGTGGTTGGATATAAGATCTCCACCCATTTCCATTTCCAGCCTGGTAGAGTGTTTTGTTCCTAGGTCCATTCCTTTGATGAATGAATAGCTTTTTATATCTTTTTATATATTTATATAGTGGCAGCTTTTTATATCATTTTTTTAAGGTTAGCTTTAAGCTCCATTCCCTCATGCTCATTAAACATGTTCACTTTGGGGCCAGGTGTGGTGGTGCATGCTCTTAATCTCACCACTGGGGAGGCAGAGGGAAATTGCTTTCTGTAAATACAAGGCCAGCATGGTCTACAGGAAGCTCCAGGCCAGCTAGGGTTATGTAGAGAAACCCTGACTCAAAAATAAAATAAAATTTTAAAAAAGAAGAAAAAAAATAAGATACAAACAAAATAAACGCACAAATTTTGTAAATAGAGAAAAGGTGAGGGAATGAGGATGTAGCTCAGTTGATAAAGTGCTTGCTTAGCATACACAAAACCTTGGGTGCTATCTTTTACACTATATAAAACTGGGCATTTTGGTGCACACAGGTATTCTTAGCATTTGGGGGGTATATACAGGAAGATCAAACTTCAAGGTTATCCTTGGCTACACAATAAAGGCCAGCCCGGGCTATATGAGTCCTTGTCTCAAATAAAGAAAAGAAAAAGCGATAGCCCTGTGTCCATCCCTAGCACCATATAAACTGGATATATCCATATATCAGTACTTGCCTGTCATCCAAGCACTCCATAAATAGAGGGAGGAGGATTGTGAGTTCAAGGCAATCCTGGCTTAGTGAGCTGAAGGAAAAGGCACAGTGCCTCTCTGTAAATCTTTTGTACTCTCTTGTCAAGGCTGTATTGTGAATCATAATCCTGCTACGATGGCTGCTAGAAGATGGTTTTCCAATTCCATCTTTGGAGACCAGGCTGGCCTTGAACTGAGGTCCGCCTGCCTCTGCCTCCCGAGTGCTGGGATTAAAGGCGTGCGCCACCATCGCTGGCCCAGCAAGATATTTCAGGATGATTTGTATGCCCTGCCTCTGCCCTGGATCTGGCAAATGCTATTTAGAAATCAAAATGGAGGGGGGGGGGGTCAGGTTGGAGAGATGGCTTAGCAGTTAAGAGCACTGGCTGCTCTTCCAGAGGACTCAAGCTGGATTCCCATCATCCGCATAGCAGCTCATCACAGTCTAAATATAATTCTAGTCTCAGGGGACCTGACATCCGATTCTGGTCTCTGTGGGCACCAGGCATGCACAGACATATATGCTGAGAAAACATTCATACACATACAATAAAAATAAATTTAAAAATTTGAGGTCTGGGATTAGGAAATGGTTCAGTGGATAAGAACACTTGCTGCACAAGCATGAGAACCTGAGTTCAAATCCCCAGCACCCATGTAAATACATATAACAGTGTCTGTCTGTAACCTCAGCACTGTAAGGGCCCAGAGACAGAAGGATCTCTCATACTTGCTGGCTGCCAGCCTTGTTCCTGGTTCAGTAAGAGACCTTGCCTCTAAGATAGGAGAGTGATAGAGCAGGATACCCCACATTGTTCTCTGGTGTGTTCAAGTGAGGACTGGAGGGCACATCAGCACACAAAAATGCACAAACACTACACACACACACACACACACACACACACACATCTGTTGCTCACTTCAGCAGCACATGTACTAAAATTAGAACAATACAGAGAAGATTAGCATGGCCCCTGCAAGCAAAGATGATCTGAAAATTCATTAAGCATTCCATATTTAAAAGGAAAAATTGTATAAACTGAAGACATGGCCTCTCCAAAGTACAGTTGAGGGCAAGTATTTTATTATAGATATGAGGGTTAGTACAGCTAGAGGCATCTAATCCCAGCACTTGGGAGGCAGAGCCAGGCGGATCTCTGTGAGTTCGAGGCCAGCCTGGACTACCAAGTGAGTCCCAGGAAAGGCGCAAAGCTACACAGAGAAACCCTGTCTCGAAAAACCAAAAAAAAAAAAAAAAAAAAAAAAAAGGAGGTCAACTGAGAGCTAATGATTGGTTAGTATATCAGAAAAAAAAGGAATTTGTGTGCTCAACTACATTCCTAGGAGTGTTTAGGTAAGAAGTTAGGAGTCTATAATGTTAGTAATAGAAAAGGAGGGTCTCAGATAGCACAAGAAATAAAGCTATCCTCCTGACATAAGGAACAGGCGTTTTTTCCATAAGAGTGTTACCTTAGCTCAGGAGATGGTTTGGTCTTGGATGCCTGATAGGTATTTTAGATAAATACACTGTTAGGAGTTCTTGGAAGCACCCATAGCATTACAAGAAAATCACTGTAGGAACCAGCCAATACACACACACACACACACACACACACACACACACACACACACACACACACACACAAGCTAAAATATCACCAAGACTTAAGCCATGGCTTGACCTTTGGAGAAGTCCTTGACTTCTTTGTGATAGTAGTTGAATTACATTTTCCTGTGGCTTGCAGCATCCCCAAAGAGTTAAAACAACAACAACAACTATACCTCTGTGGTAACACAGGCCACAGACATCAACCCAGATCCCAACTGCATCAAACACAGCCCTCAGCCCCAGCAACGGCCCAGATGGCACAATGGTTCTGGATGGCAACACAGGCCACTCAGATCAGCATGGCTCTGGTGGCAGCACAGCCCTTGAACACCAAGGCCACGGGTTGTAGCCCAGACCCCAGGCTTCCATGTAGCATTTGATGGCAACACAGGCCTCTGACTTCAACATAGACCCCAGCTACAATAGGATCACAGACCCAAACATGGTCCTCAGCAGCAGCCAGGCCTGGATGTCACCATTACCTCAGGTGCAAGCCACTCAGATCAGCATGCCCCCAGGTAGGGACCGCGACCTCGAGCATCCACATGGCCTTTGATAGTAACAGGAGCCACCTACATCAACTCAGACCCTGGCTGCCATAGAGCCATGGACCCATACATGGGCCTCAGCTGCAACTCTGTCTTAGATATCACCATGGCACCAGGTGGCAGAGCAGACCACTCAGATTGGTATGGCCCCTGTGGTGGCATGGTCCTTGGACACCTACATGGCCACAGGTGGCAGACCAGACACTATGTTGTCTACCTCTCCAGTGTGAAAATGATGGATATTGTGGAATTACTCCAATTGCTGAGGCATCCAGTCTCAAGGTCCAAGCAACTACCAGGTTCTCAGCCTCACAGGCGTGGCCAACTGTTGTTACTATTTCAAGATAAACTAATTTAATAAATTTTTAAAAGATTATTTATTTATTTATTTATTATGTATACAGTGTTCTGCCTGCATATATGCCTGCAGGCCAGAAGAGGGCACCAGATCTCATTATAGATGGTTGTGAGCCACCATGTAGTTGCTGGGAGTTGAATTCAGGACTTCTGAAAGACCAGTCAGTACTCTTAACCTCTGAGCCATCTCTCCAGCCCCTTAATAAATTATTTACATGAAGCCAGGTGGTAATGGTGGTGGCTATTAAGCTATTAAGAGCACAGGCTTGAGTTTGGTGCTATCCAGAACTTGTGGACTTCAGTGGCAGTCAGTGTGAGCTCAGCACCCTCAGCAAAAGGGAAGGTGCCAGCTCAAATGGCCTGAGGCACCCTGCCATGTAACACATGAACACACACACACACACACACACACACACACACACACACACACACACACACACACACGAGAGAGAGAGAGAGAGAGAGAGAGAGAGAGAGAGAGAGAGAGAGAGAGAGGTGGTTTGAATGACAGTGGTGCCCATAGGCATATATATTTGAATATTTGATCCTCAGTTGGATCTGTTTGAGAAGGATTAGAAGATGTACTTAATGAGGAGGTATATCAAGAGGGGCAGGCTTTGGGGCTCAAAAGCCTATAGCCACACCCCAGTCTGTTCTTTGCTCCCTGTTTGTAGATCAGGACATGAGCTTTGAGCTGCTGCTCCAGTGTCATGCCTGCCTGCCTGACTGTTGTCATGCTCCTAGCCATGATGGACTCCTAGCCTTCTGGAATTGTAAATCTACAAGAAACTCTTCCTTCTATAAGTTGTTTTGGCCATGGTGTTTTATCACAGCAAAAGAAAAGTAACTAATACATCTGACTACCCAAATTCCATCGCTGGAAGCCATGTGTAGTGGTTTAAATGGAAAATGTTCCCCACAGGCTCTGATATTTGGACACTGGGTTTCCAGTTGCTGACATTATTTGGGAGAGGTTTATATGGTACGGTGTCACTGAGGCAGGCTTGGAGAATTGAAAGCTGCACACCACTTGCCTGTCTTCATCAGCTTCTTACTTTTGCACCATGCCTGCTTCTTGCTGCCACACTGCCCTGCCATGATGGGCCCTTGTCCCTCTGGAACGGTGAGCCCAAATAAATCCTTTCTCTGATAGTTGCCTTGGTGTTTTGTCACAATAGGAAAGTATCTAATACACCATGTGAAGGTGAAAAAAAGAGGACTCCACAAAGTTGTCATCTGACCTCCACATATGCACCGTGGCATGTGTGTGCACACAAATATTACCATATGCTTGCACAATAATAGTAATTTCAGTAATGGTGATAAAATAGTTTAAATGACAAAATAAAAGTGTGAGTGAATTAGTACATCTTAATTCAGCCAGATGTGGTGGCACTTTCCTTTAATCCTATACTTGAGAGGCAAGGCAGGACGGTTGTTGCAAGTGTGAGGCCAGTCTGGGTTAGACATCAAGACCCTGTCTCATAAAAAGAGAGAGAGAGAGAGAGACAGACAGACAGACAGACAGACAAATCCCAGCACTTGAGAAGCAGAAGCAGGAGGATCTCTGAATTTGAGACCAGCCTGGTCTACAGAGTGAGTTTCAGGTCAGCCAGGGATATACAGAAAGACCCTGTCAAAACCAAAACAAAGCAAAAACAAAATCTAAAAAAAAAACCCAACCCCAAAAAATTTCCAAAAAACCCCAAACAACAACAACAACAAAACCCCTTTGGCTTAGTTAGGGTTGCTATTGCTTTCATAAAACACCACGACCAAAAAGCAAGTGGGAAGGAAAGGGTTTATTTGGCTTACACTTCTACATCGTGGTCCATCACTGAAGGACATCAGGATAGGAATTCAAACAAGGCAGGAATTGATGCAGAGGCCATGGAGAGGTACTGCTTACTGGCTCACTTCTCATGGTTTGCTCAGCCTGCTTTCTTATAGAACCCAGCACCACCAGCCTAGGGATGACACCACCCAACATGGGCTGGGCCTTCCCCAATTGATCACTAATTAAGAAAATGCCTTACAGCTGATCTCATGGAGGCATTTTTCTCAGTTGAGGTTCCCTCCTTTCAGATGATTCTAGCTTGTGTCAAGTTGACATCAAACTAGCCAGGACAACCTTCTAATACTAACCAAGCCTCAAAACATCCCAGAATCTTCCTTCTCTGACTGCAGGAAACCTCTGTCTCAGAATAGTTATTCATATGCCCAACAGTCTCTCTCAACTCACATACAATCAAACTCCTGGCCACATTGTATAGCACGAATCTTAAAAGTTCTTATTAATAAAATCAAACCCAGAGCCAGGTATTGGGATGAATGCTGGAAGATCAGAGAAGCAGAACAAGTCACAGCTTCCTCACCTCACCAATTCCTCAGCTGATCCTATTTCCTCAGTTTGGAAGCTTCTGAGTCCTCATCCGAATGGCTCTCAGCTGAACTGCTGTTAAAAGCCTAAAAGCTTAACCAGCTCTAGTTCCTGGTTTTCACGCCTTATATACCTTTCTGCTTCCTGCCATCACTTCCTGGGATTAAAGGCTCACTTCCTAGGATTAAAGGCATGAGTCACCATGCCTGGCTATTTCCAGTATGGCTTAGAACTCACAGAGATCTAGGCAGATCTCTGCCTCCGGAATGCTAGGATTAAAGGCGTATGTGCCACCATTTTCTGGGCTCTATATCTAGTGGCTGTTCTGTTCTCTGACCCCAGATAAGTTTATTAGGGTACACAATATTTTGGGGAACATAATATCACCACATTATTGGCCATCTAAGATAATTTTATTTTGTTGTACAAAGGATTTGGAAGCAGGATATTGGAAAGAGTAGGGTCAGTTAGATGATTCAGCAGGGAAGGGTGCCTGCCAACACCCCTCATAACCTCAGTTTAATCCCTAGAATCCACATGGTGAAGGGAGAGAAGCAATTACTGAAAAGTGTCCTCTGACCTCCACACCAGTGCTCCCCCACACAAACAAACAAATAAACAAACAAACAAATAATAAAAAAGGATAGAGGCTCATTTAGTGCACTGTCCTGGTGACTGGGAGGTCTAAGAGCAACATCTGGTGGAGGACTTTCTACATCTTTGTGATGTAGCAGACGGAACTGCAATGTGTGAGACACTATAAGTGTGCCAAGTTGGGTCTCTCTTCTTCATCTTATGAAGCTGCCATGCCATCATGGAAGCCCTACTCCGATGACCTCGTCTATCTAGTTAACTCACAAAGGCCACACTTCCCAACACCACCAACATACTGTTTCAGGTGTGGATCAGAGTTTTGAGGACACCCACTGAGGTTTCCAGAGTCTACTGTCCAGGACAAAGAATTGCACCTAGGACATATGGTGAGAAATAGAGACAGTCTGGGGCTTTAAAGATGGCTTAGTGGTTAAGAGCACTTGCTGTGTAAGCATGAAGAACAGAATTTGGATCCCATCACCCATGTAGCAAACCAGGTCTCATCCTGCACACACCTATAATCCCAGCACTGA